AGAACAGCGGTATGCAAAAAACGTAGATTTCTGTACTTAGCCAACTGGAGCAAGATAAGAAAAACGAAGATCTCCGTAGTTAGCAGTGAAAGTGTTAAAGAAAAAGAGTGTAAATTTTTCATTAAGATTTCTTGAACATTCAGACAGGTAAATGAAAACAAATAAATATACTGTTTAATAAATAACTGGAGCATCTCCTCAAATATGAGTATCCACTAAAAAATGATGTTTAAATTATATACTACTAAAGAAAAATCAACTATGTTGGTGTGACCAATAGACAACTTGACAGAAGACCTAACACACTAGGCAAGGAAAAAATCCCAAACAAGGAAAGAAAAAAAAGACTAAAAGGTAAACATACATTTACCTAGCTAGTAAAGAGCTCAATTTCCAGATTATCTAGACAGAGCAAAAAACACTTAACATCAACACTTAATAAAGGAAGCTCGAGTGGTTACTGGAGTTTCACACTCTTGTGATTTTCAGACAACTACAGCACAACTGAAAGAAGTGTGTGTGTGTCGTCTAGCATTATATATCCATCACTAACCCACCTATGCTAATGCATCATGGGAATTTTTTTAAAATCCATGAATAATGCCCTCCTTCACAGGAAAAAATGAAAATAAGCAGAGAAAAAGCTCAGTGGGTGGGCCTAACTAAACATGGTGACTGTACTATTAAGTGGGAGATAAGGAAAAAGGAAAAAAGAGGCGGGTGTGGAAAACACTAGTCAGGTGACAGGTAAGACAATAGATATTTCATATTATGCCTACATCTACTAATTCTGATTTTTCATTTAGCTTAAACTGACAACCTCATGCTGAACTTAATATTGCAAACTTCTCTTCAAGGCACAGCTGACACCTATCCCTAATATTTTTACATGTACTATTTTTTTAAGAACTCTACAAGAGATTTTTGGGGACTTACATGCTTCTCTTTTAATATTCCAGTAATATGCTGACAGTGCTGTTGCATTTTCATATTTACTATGAAGCTCAACTTATGATTATAGTGTCTTTTTTTCCATTCATTTTCAGTAGCCGCTATATATATTCTCTCCTCCTTAACATTATTCCTATTGTCTACCTTTGTTTTCACCAAATAAACTATATCTTAAGCCAAGCAATTACCTTCCATAGGACAGGCACTTTTTACTTTGCATGAAAGATATGAATAAAAGAGAAACATTTTTACAGAGAGAAACAATAAAAGAATAGGAATTTAGAAGACAGGAGATAATGACTGACATTGCATTTAAGTTGTTGAAGATCAAAGTTGACTGGAAAGCAATAAGCTGGAAGAGAGTTCCACAAGTGAAAAGTGTGAAAGAAGAAACTGTTAACATAGAACTTAAGTTACATCTAAACATTTCAACTATAAAATGAGAGAACCTAACTGCCACTCTAGTAGTACACTTAAATTTGTAAAGTCTAGGTGCTAAAGACGAAAGCTCATCAGAAAAATTACCATGAAAATATTTATAGAAAAGACACAGGGAAGTTACATTAGATATGATTTTCATATTTTGTGAATTCAATATAAGCCAGTAATCCAACCATATAGATTGATTTGTTCTTTGCTGGTTATTTAAAGTCAGAAAATAATTTGCTCGGGGAAATCGTTCATAAGGTTGTCAGTTTAACACATTAATCTATGTAAAGCCATAAATATTTCTTGACAAATCAATCATGTCTAATAACTTATATACAAAAAAAAAAACACATTTTGTTATTTGCATTTCAACCTTTTTGGGGGCTCAGCCCAAATTGGTGATGATATATTTGACATTCACATTATTACACAACCCTGGAAATGGTTTCTAAATAAGTGAAAGAGGCCAAAAATCTACAACCTTCATGGTGTTCACAGGAATACTAAACACTGTCTTGTAATATTTTCCAGTCTAAGAATAGTCCTGGATTATCAATCAGAATATCCAGGGTTCATTTGTATATTTTTTCTTCTTTTAAGGCAATTTACAAAAGCAAGAGATTTTTGTCTTGGTAAAAAAAAAAAAATGAAGAAAAATAAAAAGACTATTCATTCTTAGTACATATGCAATTGATATATGAATAGTGATGGGTTACGATTTTGATAATCAATGCCAAAGTGACCATTAATTTAGTTTTTGCTATTTTAATAATATGAAATTACTAAAAGGACAGGCATGACCCTCAAACCTGTTATGTACTCGTAAATAACACAGTTGTAGAAGGCAGAGTAAGCTCCCTTTATATTGTTAGGATGACAGAAGCAGGTGATAAACGTGCCAATATTTTGAAGATTAATTGGTAAAAAAAATTGTAATCCTCTACCCTTTCATTTTAGTGTCCAGCAGTTTTATCTTTTAGCTTTGCTTTTGCATATAAACAACAAATAGAGAATATTACAGAAATCCAAGTAGAATTAGAAGTTAGCCAAACTGGCTTAGATTTTTGGGTAGAAAAAATAATAAATAAACAACTACTGAAAAACAAATTTATCAATAGCCAATTTGAAATCTTTAGAAATTATTTCCAATCATGAAAAACACAAAAATTTCAAATGTTTTTTTTTCAAGTTTAAATGTGTAAATTTAACAACTTTACAAATGCAATTTTCAGATTACTTTGAATGCCAAAAGCAAAATAACAAAGAAAAAAAAAAGTTCTTTTAAGTTGTAAAAAAAAAAAAAAAAAGAAAAGTTAATTCAGGAAATTACTTTCATCATTATTTTTTCACTCCTATTTGTGGATAATTCACATATTTTTAAAGCAAAAAATATTCTGAATTAAAATAATAAAAAAAAAAGAAATAATGTTAGAGTTTCAAGACCCATTCTGTTGAAATCAACATAATGATTATTGGAAAAAATAAATTTCTGTGTGTGTGCATGCAGGCATACACATAGGAGATTCAGCATAGTTCTCAGCTCAACCAACTTCTTGAAATCAATATTTTGCTCATTGCAAAATACTGATTTTTGAAAATGGATCAAGTTGAGAGCTTTTCAGCATTGTGTGTGTTTATATATTACAATGAATCATTCATACATTTAAAAAAAATCATATTTCGATTCACATTATATTTTTTTGTCTCAGATGCTACCTGAATTTTACCAAAAATAAAATAATTTCCATACCTGAAGATGACTGAATGTACAGTCAAAAGTACTTGCATATTAAAGAAAGACCCTATACAGCTTATAATATTTAAAAACAAGGATCATAACATTCATCGAGTGATTTGTAGGTTAATACACCTTTAAAATTTTGTTAGCAAAGGGATTTTGCCATTTTATATCATTAACTTTACTAATCTACTTTTTGTATGAATGATTCATTGTAATATAAATTGAACTGCACCATATATATATATATATATATATATATATATATATATATATATATATATATATATAAAAATATATTTCATGGGTTAAAGTGCTCAATATCAGGGATAGAGTGTATAGTGTATGTAAATATAAAAGTGGACATTGAGGTCAACACCCAGTGATGAAAGTCGCTGGTCTGATGATTGCATTTAAGCATGAAACAGACTGCTACTGCTGGGTATTGATCTCAATGTCCACTTATATATATGTATATATATATGTATGTATGTATGTATGTATGTATGAAAAACTGAAAGTCCATAATTGACAGTGTGTATATATATATACATGCTCATACATACACAAGTGCCCACATATTTTAAGAAATAAATTATAATTATGAACTTTTCAGTTTCATAATTTTATGATTTAAAGTATCATAATACCATAATTGCTTTCCTCAGAGAGATTTTTCAAGCTCCTTATTGGCTTTGTTACACAATACTCTTGGAAAAAATAACAACAGCTCCATATTTTGTATAGGAAGCATAAAGCAAACAAATAGATGTGGAGCCTGGTCAAGACACTTGGGGGTTACCAAAAACTATTTCAATTGACTATTAAATGACAAAAATGGCTTGGTTCAGACGTGTCATAATCAGGTATTACATTCTGACCAAAACCAAGGCACAGGGAGGATGGAAATGCAGATGATTATAAGAAAGGGCCAGATGACATCAAGGACTGGATGGGGGACAGTTTCCTGTGTGTCTCTTCCCTTAACAGTTGCTAACAAAGTAACTTTGAGGTCATCTGTCTCTTCAGCATACACGTTCAACCCCACCAAGGACTTCAAATATGTTGAGAGACTGCTGTTGCCAATAAACAATGTTTTATTGAATCCATGAAAATATACACAAAAATTATTCATATAACATTGTCAGTAAAAATATTTGTTTTTGCTCAGATAGAGTTAAAGATGCAGAAAAGAGTGAAGAAAAAATAGAAACAAAAAAGACATAAGAGGAAGTAATAATGACATGAGAACAGTCGGATCACACAAAACTGTTTTAAAGGATGGAGGACAAAAATGGTAATAAAGTCTAGATAACAGCAATAATAACTAGTATCCTAATATGCAGAGCATACACATATACTATGAATATACCTACTGCATTGTGGGAAATAAATAATATGGAGATTTGCCATGACATCTCCTTAGCATGTGTTCTTCTTCATGAGTTCCAAGATTAATCTGTAACTATCTTAATAGCTAGCACACAATACTACAATAGTTAAGATTCAAGGATGATTTATAAATAAACAAAACAATTATTAGAGATCATTATTCTGATTTGACAGCAGTTATATCATCTTTATAGTTATAGCTTTAGAAATGTAAAGCTGATTATGTGAACGTTAAAGGAAAAATATTCCAACTGACAAAAAGAGAATGGAGAAACAGTTAGTGCCAAGTTAAATTATCTTCCGACATCAAAAAATAAATGGCAAAAGTAAATTTAAAAATAATGAGATGAAGATGAGTTATGACAAAGGTATGGGTGTGCGAAGCAAGAATCACTAAAAGAAACCTGATCTGTTTGCATTTGGGTAATGTAGCTAACAATATTCAAAGTTGTTTCTTTGTTACGTTGATATTAAGGTGCAAGAGAAAGTTTCACAATTGCATCTGGTCGTAAATGTCCAATTCATAAACCTACAAAGAAAAAAACATATAAGAAAAGAAATTAAAATCTATGCATTGTAAAAGGATTGAAATAAAAACTACACTTGCTATTGATATTTTTTCTAAAGAATTTTACAAATGTTGTCTACCATCAAAAGACAATATAAAAATCTCTTAGCAAATACTTAATCATGGAATCATCATTAACAAAATTCATTGCTGCAAGAGTCGTCTAATAAATGAATCAACTACTAGGTTTGCTGCGAGGAAAATTGGTTCATTGTCTCATGCTAGATAATTTTCCTCACTATCTTCCATATTTATAAGTCTACCATTCCTCCATGCATTGAATATTGCTGTCACATCTGCTCTGGTGCTTATGCTATGTATTTAGAGATGCTTGATAAAATCCAAAGTACAATTTGCAATGTTATTGGTCCCAACTTGACATTTCAGCTTTAGTCATCTTCTCATTGATGTAACGTAGCTTCTCTGTGTCAATTCTATAAATATTTTCATGATAATTGTTCTCATGACCTTTCCTTTGTGGTACCTTAATTTCATGGATTTAAGTGCAGTACTAAATTGGCAGCTAGGACTCATCATTTTACAGTAGAAATGGCTAGATGTAACCATAAATTCTATGATAAGTTTTTTCTATCCCACTTCTCACTTATGGAATTCTCTTCAAACTTTTTGCCTTTCAGTTAACGTTGATCTTCAAAAATTTAAATGCAATATCAGTCATTATCTTCTGTCTTCTTAATTCCTGTTCTTTTATTGCTTCTCCTTTTAATAATGATTTTATTTTTTCATATACTTTCAAATTTAGTAATCCCTTACATCTTAGTGACTTTATTGCCTTGCTTGGGATGTGGGGTATGATTAAAAAAAAATGACTTTTTCAATTCTCTAAATTTGAAATCAATAATGTCATTTGTATAATGTATATTGTCAAGGTTATATCTGCCGATAATAAATACCAGTAAGTCTTCTAAAAATTGTGTTGATTTTATCCAAATGAAAATGAATGCAAAACACTTTCCCCTCCCCAATTTATAGGCAGGAACATACAAATGCATGCTGGGATTTCTTTGTAGGTACTAAGATAGGCCACTTGTCAGTGTTGTCTGACACAGTCCTGGTCTGTCTTGCCTTGAAGTCAGAACGCTGTGTTCATTCATCTGAATTTGCTCTTGTGTGTCAACCCCAATTCTTAATTTGTGAACTTTTTGCCTTATTTCTCTTGATTTGCCTTGCATATATTGTTTGCATGTTTTATATTATATTTTTCTTTTCTTTTTCTTGCTATTGCTTATTACAAACTTGGACAATTCTGTTGGGCACTTCTACCATTTATTTACATTTAACCATGGCCACGTAGTCTACAAGTTGTTTAAATAAAACCACTGAGAAAACATCCTTATCACACTCCTCTTTCTATTTTGATGTACTTAATAATACTTTATTTCTATACAAGTTGTTTGTTTCCAATATAGATTTTGAATCATTTGTATATCCTTTACATGTAGATCAAGCTTTCCCATCATATCAAGAAATTCTTCATATTATACTTTATCAGATGACTAATTTATGAAACAAGTTTTTTTTGCACTCCCACTGCTCATTCTGACCATGAAATCTAACATTCTTTTTCTCATGTCTTAGAGCCACAATGCTTTTTTTAAATCTACCAGTTGTATTCTGCAATGAGCTCTATTCATTAGAATCTAATTCATTAGTTTTGTTATTTGATTCATCAAGCTAATTGCTTGATCAAGTTAGCATCCATTTCTGCCTGGTTTCTTTGGCAATTTCATGAAAATCAATGGAGTTGATGCTAAAATACAATCATGATTATTGTTTTACTTTATCTCCCTGTTTCTAGAATTTATTTCACTATGTATATGATCATTCTTCTTTTATGTGCCAACTCCTTTCAGGCAGTCATAGCTCTCCACAACTTCCTGTCTTTTGTTTCTCTAAGTAACTTTTGACCCTTTTTGACCCAAATGAAGAGACTTGAGGCAACAGAAATGTGGTTCTGCAGAAGGATGCTGAGAATACCATGGGCTGAACATGTGAACAATGATAAAGTTTTAGAGAAAATAGAAACAAAAAGGACACTTATACGTACAATCAGAAAGACAGAATTGAAATTTATAGGGTATATAATGAGGAAATAGGCCTTGGAAAATTTGACACTCACAGGATAGGTTGAAGGCAAGAGAGACAGAGGAAAGCAGCAAATGACCTATCTAATGAAATGGTTGACAAAGCAGCAATTAGAAGATAGCAAAAAGACAAAATTTACTAAGAGCTACAAAGGACAAGAAATTGTGGTGGGCCATGATAACTCACCCTCTGAAAGAACATGGCATAGAAGATGTTTCTCATTCTTCATTATATGCCATAGAAATTTCAGCTCTCTCTTCCTTATTGTAAGTATAAGTTTCCTAGTTCTTATTTTTCAAAAACTACCTCATGGCTCACATATTCTATCCATCATATTATTGGCATTTGCTGGTAGAACAGCATTTCTGTTGCCTCAAGTCTTCTCTTCATCTGTGAGAAAATTGTCCAGCATTTACTGCTATATAAGAGGATTGATATTGCATAGTAGTTCAGCACTCTTTGTATTCTCAGCATCCTTCTATAGAACCACATCTCTGCTGCCTCATATCTTCTTTTGATCTATGAGGAAATTGTCCAGCATTCACTGCCATATAGGAGATTTTAGAGTGAATAAAAGTTTTGACATTTTTGTTTAAATCTTACCTGTGATATCATGAGTTACATAAATGGCAAAGTTAATGAAATACTAAAATTGTGCAAACAGAATTTTGCATTGATTGATTTTTTTTATATCTTATCAACCCATTGCAGGTTATTTAAAGCCAGAAAATATTTTTAGATTGTAAGAATTTTTTTTTGAGATAATGATTTTAGTGAGACAAATCTTACTAATTAACCAATAGCTGGAGAAAGAAGAGGTGGATTTCTGCCTTTCCCAATGTTATTTGCACATAACTGAATATAAGAAACCGATGGGAATTGAAACTTGGCTCTCCAATTAACAATTCCAAGCCATTATCCATTACCTCACCCACAAATCTAAGCTTACAGCACTTGGTATTCCCAAGCAGTCACCCATCTAGGTACTGACTAGTCTCAACGTTGCTTCACTTTGGTGATCATACCGGAACCAATATTTCAACATGACGTGGCTGTAAGCCTTATTTACATTAGGAATAATGTTTGCATCTTCATTGTTATTATCACAATGTTTCAGCTATGGTGCCCTTTTGCCTTCATCAGGTATTTATCTATTCAGGTGACCTTCAGAGGATTTTGAACAAAGCCATTGTTTAATCCATCTATTTTGTTCTCATTCTGCTGTCCATGCTTAGGGATATCTCATCTTTTCCTCTTTTTGAAATAATTTTGGCTTAGTGATACATAATTAACCCATAGTTTGGGGGAGAAGAGATGGATTCATACCTTTCCTAAGGGTATTTACATGTAAGGGAATATAAAGAACCCAACTAGTATTTGAACTTGGCTCTTCAGTTCCTCATTCTGAGTTGTTATCCACTGCACCACTAGCACATCCAAGCTTACAGCACCTGGTATTCCTAAGAGGTCATCCATCTAAGGTAGTGACCAGATTCGACATTGCTTAACTTCAGTGATCTTATGGGAACCAATGTTTCAACATGTGGCTGTAAGCCTTATTTACATTAAGACTAATGTCTGCATCTTCATTATTATTATCACATTGTTTCTGCCATGGTGCCCTTCTGCCTAATAAACTACACTTAATTAATATTCAAAAATATTCATAATAACTTGGACAACTTAGTAAACAAAAATCAATTTAACCTTTTAAACAATTAATATGAAGAATAAATTAAGTACACAACCTCAAAGCTATCAACCTACAACCCTTTGTTCTGACTGTTGAGTTTCTTCTCCTAAGCTAACATCAACCTTTCATTCTTTTTAACTTACCATTGCATCAATTTTTTCAAACTGCCAGCTCCAAGATGCATTGTAAAGGAAAGGTCGTAAATCAAATCGATTGTCATCTGGTGAGTAGCACTCAGCATAGTAGGACGGTGTCAATACTGTCATCTTGTGACGATTGATGGCATAACACCTGAAGAAGTGTTTCACTTTCTCAGCAATCTACAAGAAAAATTAAAATTTCTTTTGAATTTCAAAAAGAAAACTCTCACCAGTGATTTATTAAGTAACTCTGCTAAAAATTTTAAAATCAAATTGAATCATTCATTTTTATTTTTTTTATTATTTTTTTAAATTTACATAAAGCTAAATTTTGTCTGTGTGTTCCACCTTGCAATGTTAACATGTAACAAAAGATCACCAGCCTTTTATATATATTACTCACAATTGTGTTTACAACATTTAATTTATATAACAATATTTTGAAGAATATAAATATTTAATCTGTATTTCTTACTTATACTCAATTTTAAAGATATTTCTAGTAAAATGGACTAAGGAACCACATGCATTTTTGTCTTTAAATAAAAATAATTAGCAAGAAACATATTTTTAGATAATTTTTATTTTGTCAGCTTAGCATTTTTACTATCAGCGTTTTATATATATTACTACCATATATATTTGTGTATAAGCTGACTTCATGTATAATGAGACCCCAGAATTTTTTGCCATGAAAATAATTACCTGTGTATAGTTCAATCGTTCACTGAAAATGCATGATTTTTAATCATTAACACTGTATTATTAATATTACTTCCCTTTCCACTGCATTCTTTTTCAAGGCCTATCAATTGCAGTAACCGTATTGCTAATTTCACTAAAAGGTATTTTCTGTTGCCATAGCAGGATATGACAACACAACTATGAAATTCAAATATTAGAGTCACCTTCAGTGGCAGGATAAACTTTCTGCACAGCAAATGAAGTCACATACATAGTGATAAAGGTTAACATCTTCAAAAAAAATTATCTGTGTCTATACAGTGTCTGTAACCCACTATTTTTTGCATAAAAAACTGATTATAAAAATTCGCACTATACTTGAGTATATATGATAACAAATGGCATTTACAACATAAGCAGTAACATTTAACTTGCATTAAAATTTTTAAAGCAGATTTTGATAAATATTTCATTTGTGTTTTTTATTTTAAATCAAATTTTAAAAGATATTGCCATCTATAAGAAATGTTTTTGCTAATAATGACACAAGCTCAGCCATACAAGGTCAATGGGGAGGGAGAGTAAAAAAAGTTGAAAAACCACCTGAAAACTGGTATTTTTAATATTTTTAATGTTTTTAATCCAATTTTTGCACAAACAATTTATTAGTATCTTTTAATATTAATGATTTTTAATCATTATTCTGAAGAAATGATTCATCCACCCAAATTTCAATAAATGATTTGAGTATTGGAAGTCCATTAAGAAATAATAAATAATTATGAACAAAGTTTATAATAATCACAACATTTTATATAATTTAAGTGAGATTACAAGGAAAGGAAGAAAAGGTCATTTTTGGGGTGTGTAATGTAGAAAGTTTGCATTTATTTCACATAGAGTTTATAAGTGACTTATTGCACAAATTGAAAGTTCTTTCATTGAGCAGCATATGTTAGATTCATTGAGTAGCTGTGTAAGTGACTGCTGACTGGCTGGTTTGCAACTGTTATCAGGACTGCTGATACAGTGTGTTTTATAACTGACTGGCTGTCTAGACAGGCTAGAACTTTTTGTGTGTTGGTGACTGCTGGCTGTGTGTAGCCAGTCAGCATTGGTGTTTGCTTGTTTTTATGAGGAGCTGCTTCTGCTAGTGAGTTAAGATGATTGTAAAAAGTAATATAATTCATGTGTGTGCTATTTAATGAAGTTTTATTTTGTTAAATTAGGGATAATGTCTCTACATTTCTCTTTAAATCTAAATAATTTTTAAAACATAAAGTATGTTTTCTTAGCAATGAGACAAAATTGTCCTAACAAGTATCAAAGAAGTGAGATTATTTACAGAAATTCACAAATGGTATTAACAGATATTTTCTTGGGATTTAAATATGTAACTAGCTTAAAAGCCGGCCTTGATTGGGCCTTCATCACAATTGGTAGGGAGGAGTAGATCCTATAGGCAACAATAAACTACAGAAGAACTCAAAACTGATCGTTGCATTCAAGTATTACATTAATATTTTAGCTTACCTTTTAAAGGTTCAATGATAATTCTTCTGCCACCACTTAATTTAAAGACAATTTGATGTCCATAGGTCCTTACTTTCTATATAAACAATTATTTTTATTTCATGGGTGACTTTCACTGGATTTCGCAATTAATTTTGTTTATTCCCAAATTTCTTTCTAAGTTATAAAAATTGTTATTGTACAAAAAATATGTCACAAAAAATCATTCACATTATAGAGATTAGGATGAAAGGAATATATATTTTATGTAGCCCTGTGACTTCCTTTGTTTGATAATTATGTTATAAAAAAGGGATAAATTTTAAGGAATTTTGAATAGTATGTTTAAAAAAAGAAAGAAAGAAAAAAAGAGGGGAAAAAGAGAGGAAGCGAGAGATGTTCTTACTGTTTTGTTGTGGGTTTCTGTGTCAGTATCTTTTGGTTTCCAGAGATGAACCAATTTGCAGAACATACTGTAAGGTCCACAACGGTCAATTTGTCGCAATCGACCATATGCTGACAATTCATCATAAGTCATACCCATGTCTTCCTGATTAAACAAACAGAAAAGAAAACAATCACAGCCAGTATGAATAAATGAATGATTTAGAAATTCTACTTGGATTTTATGAATATGGTCCTTACCTAATACATTACTATATTTGTAACATTTCCTCCCAACACTGAATCTACTATCACAAGCTCCCTTATTGCCCACAAATCCATTAACGGTTTGTACCTGCTTAAATATCTATGGCATTTGTCTGATTTTCATTACACTCACAAAAACATTTTTTAGTAAACATCAAAATATACATACTTTACTCTTCTCATTATTTCTATTTTGGTTACCTTCTGGATTTTGAAGAATTGCTTAAAAATTGAAGGTGGCATGCTTTTTCAAAACTAATTTACTCACATCAGGCCAGAGGTATGTTCACTTCCAGAAATAAACCAATTATTATATAAAATTTCCTTAAAATTTTAACTCTACCTTGCTGTCTTAGGGCAAGCTTAGGGCTATTGGATTTTAAATTTTAGGTAACACCTTTTCTAAAAACATGAGTGCCATGCACTAGTACATTAAATAGTTTTAGCATCTTAGTTTACTAACTAGGCCGTCTGTCAGGTTAGGACACCCCACAACATCCATACATTTCTTTTACATATATTTTTTCGTATTTTGCTTTGATAAAGTCCACATTGGACGAAATGCGTCAGCAATTAGTAGTTTTCCTATTGTCATTTTTATTCATGAATATTGTCTTATCTACTGGTTAAATCAGAGAAATTTTCATATATATATATATATATACACACACACAAGCTTAAAATCCACTTTATTGGGCCTTCATCACAATAGGTAGAGAAGTGTAGATGCGATAGGCAACAATAAACTATAGAAGAATTCAAAATTGATCATTGCATTAATATTCAAGCTTATCTTTTAAAAGTTCAACAATAATTCTTCTGCCACCACTTAATTTAAAGACAATCTGATGTACGTAGACCCTTATTTTCTGTACAGACAATTATTTTTATTTCATAGGTGACTTTCACTGGATTTCGCAATTAATTTTGATTATTCCTAAATTTATTTCCAAGTTATAAAAATTGTTATCATACAAAAAATTTGCCAAAAACAATCACAGTAATGAAAACTTAAAAAATTTCAGGATTGCAGGTTCGGATCTGGCCCAGAATGTTTTTAATTTACCCACAGACTTGGCCTTATTCCAAAATGGTATGATATGTTGGGCTACTGCCTCTAGGAGTAAAGTTGAAAAACTGTGACACAGTAACACACTGACATTCGTATTTTTTATATAGAGATATATGTTAAATTTCTCAGAATAACTCTGTAGAGAAGACAAATTGAATAAAATACACAATCAGAAAATAGTCCTTGCTGACGTGTTTTGTCATTTGACTTTATCAAGGCAAGTGATGATAAACAAAAGTGAAATGTTGCATAGTTACATGAAATTCAAAAATTTTTCAAAAGATATATATATATATATATATATATATATATATATATATATATATATGGATGCTAATAGATATCAGTTTAAAAAAAAAATGGTTTTAATGTTTCTTCATTAAAAGTCAAACAAAATAATTGAACAGAATTTTCTGTTCTATTTCTTCTCTAGTTTTCTGGTGAAATAGGACCAAGATTTCTAACCTACCAGTAAAGATGCCACAATGTCTCACCTGCTCAGTCAGAGCCATCATTTGCAATTTAGATAAAGTGAATGCAAGGTTCTAGTGCTTTTAAAAACTATCACTAATTTGCATTCATGGTCAAAAACCTGAATAAAAGGTGAGCTACTCAGGTGAGTTGGGAGAGGATTTACAAGAGGACCTGTGCTGAACTGGGCTTGTGACTATCAAATACAAGTTTCATGAAAGTAAACTTCACTGTTATAAGTGATATTAATTCTTCTTCATTTTTATAAGCGAACCTGGTTAGGAAAAAAATCACCTTCAATTGGGTTACTTTGTCTAAAAGAAAGATATATTTTTATTTTTTTCTACAAAAGCATGTGTGTGATACAGAATGAATTGCTATCTTAAGATGCACAGTAAAATCTTGAGCTAAATTTTGAAAACATTGATCATCAAATGAAACAGGAATAGAAAATAATACTTAAGGTTAAAATTCCCACTCAATGTAATTTGCAACAATATGAAAGAGAGAAATGAAAACAGAAGTTTGTCTTAAATTTAGTGAAAGGTTGTTGAAGATTTTTTATATATACAATAAGTAAAAAGTACTTTTGAAATTTCTGGTGAAGAGCAAGTATTTTTTTTTTTTTTTTGTATTTTAAGATTTTGTTCAAAAATCCAAACTCAAACTTGTAATTGAAACAATTATTTTTTACCTCATCTGTTTGTGTTATTTGGCCATTTTCCAGAGGTTCCAGTTCAGCAGTTGGAGGGGCACCATAAATGCTGTTAAAAATTAAGTAGAGTTTTTAAATGATTTTTTTCTTCTTAAAAGTCATATGAATGAAATAAAATTCATCTTTGTTTCAAAGCACTAATTCATAATGAGTACAAAAAAGGAAGAGAATTTAAACTGGAAAACAAATTATTTTTGCCATAAACATTCCAGCAGATGTTGAACTAGGTTTAACTTTTTAAGCCATTGATAAAGAGTGCAAATAAGACTGTCTTTGTATCACCTCAATCAAATCTGTGACAGATTGGATAATTAAGGAGAGCAATGTCCAATATTATTTATTGACAACCTATAATCATATCTGGATGTTTACCTAATAGTTATTGGTGTGAAAAGTGGGATTGGCAAGCTGGGTCCAAATTCCAGCCAAAGCAGTGGTCCCCCCAGTGGTGTTTGGAAAGGGTAATTTGTACCTATCTCTTCTCCCACTAGCTATGCATTAAATGCATAGTCATTGTCAACACTTGTACACCAAGGTGGAGGAGGGAAAAAAACATTCTCTCCCCCATTCTCATTTTTCTTGTTATCAGTATATTTTCAGTTTATTAAAAAAACATTGTTTTTCTTTCTTGTTTTCCAGTTTATTTTAAAAGCCTTTTTTATAATTTACCAGCTCCTTCGTAATAGTGTCACAATTATGCTTTAATTTTAGTAGCAAATTAATATTTTTTTAAGGGTGAAGTCGATAGTCTGACACTTAAGGTGGGCTGCTTTAGAAGACTAAAAAGTACCAACCATACAACCTGTTTCCCACAGATGCAACATTGCAAGCCTTTCACAATTTTATTGCTATTTCCATGGCAAATGTTGAGTTCCTTTCTTTAGTTTTACCATTTCAGACCTTTACAGGTATGCCATGTACACACTATCAAATCATCCTCATTCCCTTCACATTCAATTGGTATGAACAAAAGTTCCACTGAAGTAGCTTCTTCCAGAGAACCAATACTTTTTGGATTAATTGTTTTTTTTACAGCTTATCAACCCGTTTGTAGGTTATTTAAAGCCCAAACATATTTTGGATTGTAAGAATAATTCTTTTTTTTTTCAAATTGAATACTGCATCATCATTTTTTTTGGATATAACAATGATTTTTACAGATAAAAGTCTTACTATTTAATCCATAGTTGGAGGAAGAGATGAATTCATACCTTTCTTGAGGGTATTTGTGTGTAAGTGAATGTAACAAAATGGAATCTGAACTTGGCTTTCCAATTTCTCATTCTGAGCTGCTATCCATTACACCACCTGCACATCCCTATACTTTATGAAACAAGCTCACAAGAAGATGCTTGCTTGATCACAATAATCCTAACCTCTTCAAGCCCAGAATCAACTGTTATCTGTCATACATATCCTCATAATTTGCACTTACCAACAACTGCATTCAGTAAACCTCTGCATTGAGTGGTTCTTGAATATTTAGTAAAAAAAAAAAATTACCCCCCAGAGAATCAGTCTGAGATAGATATCAACTATCCTAGCCAGGCTTTGAACCTTGTTTACCAATTCCATTCTCTAAACTGATGCACCACTCACACTTCTCCAAAGAGAGGAACACAAATTTAAAAGACAAAAAAAAAAAAAAAATGTTCAACTTACTTTTGAAGAGAAGATAGATCAAATTCCTTCATGCAATAAAGAATAAATTTCTTTAAATCAGTTTTGCTGATTCCACCAATTGGATTTAAGTCTGCACTAGAACAGTCGTATTTGGTCATGTAGCCACGTAAACTAAGAAAAAAAAGAAAAAAATCGGGCAATCAAATAATGTCATTAATTTCTAAAAAAAATATACAATACAAACTGATATTAATTATGCAAAATGACTTTTAGAGTGACAATATATAGCCAGTGGCGACAAACTCTGTGGGGAAAATAGTGTTTTGCAGATAAAAAAAAACTTACTCTATCTGTGCTCTTTGTAGCTATTTTAATTCCAGTGGAAATAAATTGAAGGCATTACTTTTGGAACATCTTCCATAAAATTTTTTTTTTTTTTTGCTTCCAAAATCTTTCTATCAAGCAAAATTTAGTTAATATTGATGAATTTCCCCCTTACTCATTTTTCTGCCTTTTTTCTTTAGAAAAACAGTTGTGTTCTTTAGGACGAGTAATTTGTAATATTATTTGTTTATTGACCATCGCCAGATTATTAATGTGAAACTTGTGAAAATGATTGAATAATATAGGTACTGCCATAAGCAGCAAAGAAACACAATGTATAACAACAAATGCAACCTTATCAACTCATAAAAAAATTCTTTAATGATGACATATCAAACTGAAAATAGAAGACTTTGAACAATTTGTATTCAGTGGTATTAACTGTGTGGAAAAACAATGCTTTATAGCTGAAAATTTGCTCTATCCAGCAGGGTTATTCTGCTCCATGTATCTGTTGTTGGTCCCATAGAAATAAAGCATATTCATTAATTTTGAGCATCATTCATACAATTTTTCTGCTTCCAGAATATAAAATGATTCTATAACTATTTTTTTTAAATTTGCAGGCACTGAAATCAAATATATAAATAATAAATTTCAACAACATTTAATTTTTATCTCAACAAATGAACCTAATGCATCTCTTGCTATTTGTAAAATTTAAGAAAATCTCTCAAAGTTTAGATAATATTGATGAATTTTCCAAAATATTTTTTGTCTGTTGCTTTTGAGAAAACAGTTAAGATGAATAATTTACAATATTATTTGTTCATTCAATACAACCAGATTATTAAAGTAAAATTCATGCAAACTACTGAATAACAAAAACAAAAAAGGTAAGACATAACTCTAAAAAGTGAATAGTAAAAAAAAAAAAAGAAAAAAGAAAAAAAGGAGACAAATGTTTTACCTTTCATCAACATTGGCTGATCCCAACACCAAAAGACTTCCAGGTCTGCCTCGAGCCCACAATGTCAGCTGAGCAAAAAAGTAAGCTAAAACCATCCGAAGCCGAGCCTATGAAAAAAAAGAAAACAGTTAATCTATATTCCTCTGTGTATTTATGTTTCTTTTTTTTCTCAAATATGAACCCATTTCTAAATATAAAAACTTATCCAAGTGAAAAACATTTTTTCTCATTGATGTAAGATCTTGAAATAGTTTAAAATTAGTCCCATGCTGAACAAGAAAAACTTAAAAAAAAGAAAAGCAACAAAAAAAAATGTTAAAAAAAAAATCTATCTAAAAAAAAAAAAACAAAAGTCTATTTAATAAAACCACAAAAAGTTTTTTTTTTCAGATATAAATTTTGAAATGGTTAAAATTTGTCCCATATTGAAGGACACAAAAACAAAAAAAATTATATTTTCATTGCTATAAGATCTTTATAGGCTTAAAAATTTGCCCAATATCAAAATATGCAAAAAACAAGTCTCTTTTCTCTACTTCAGGAACAGATATACTTATATTGTTGGTAGTCAAAAGTAAAAAAAGGTGGAGAGGAAAATCTAAAGAACACAATGTTGCTTGTATTTTTTACTTGTTGCTGAATTTGCAGGAGTGACAATACAGACATGGCTGATTTGCATGCATTAACATGATGTATATGCAAATCACTTAGACTAATAAAAACCCAGACATCGAGTAAGAAAAGCAGTTGATACCATGAGATTATGCTAATCCACAACCTGACACTAGAAACATAAGTCTTGTGCTTATTTACATTTAGACTAATATCCTCATCTGAGTCAATGGGAATAGTGCTAGCAATAGAACAAGATAAACTGTCCCTAGATAAGAACAATGAAAAGAGAAGAATATGAAATTTAAATAAAGGATTTAGTAAAAAATACTCTGAAAATTATCTGGATTGACAGATACCTGAACAAGGTTGGAGAATACAATAAAAAAAACATTGTGATAATAAGAACAAAAATGATGACATTAGTCTAAATGTAGCTAACAATAAATCCTCATTCCATAAATTCCAAGAGAAAATCTTCTGATTATGATTACAAAACTTGAAGCTGCAAGAATGGCTGTCAGTGTTTTGCTGCCATACCAAAAAAAGATTATCAAGAATTTTAATAGCATTTTTTCTTTCTCTTAATAATGGATTAAAATAGTGAATCTTGATATACGAACCTGAATATTCTGCAGAGCCTGATTTTCTCTGACACTGCCTCCAAATTTTTTGAATTTTGGAGTGACCCCCATAACCGAAATGAAAAGAGCAAGAAGTGCTGACACTAGAGTCTGGATACTGATGTCCATATGGTAGCTGAAGAATAAACAATAAGTTGAACTTATAACTGCAGTCATAATGTATAATATTATAATTATCATAAAATACTCTTATAATTTACTAGTAATATAACCTGTGATATTTGAGAGAGGATTTATTAAATATATCAAGATTTTCTTTCATACTGTGTCATTGTTTATGCAATGGCTGATAATAAAACAGCAAATACTAAATGTAGTAATAGGAAAGAAGTAAACAGATGCCACATTTTCTATAATGCATTTAACATATGAATATGATTGATTGGTTGATTGATCTATTTTCTAGAGCTTATCAACAATTTTGTAGGTTATTTAAAGCCAGAAAATATTTTTTAGATTGTAAGAATTTTGAAGATAATAATGATTTAGTGATATAAATCTTGCTGATTAACCCATAGCTGGGAGGAGAAGAGATGGATTCATACCTTTCCCAAGGGTATTTGTGAGTAAGTGAATATAACAAACCCAACTGGAATTGGAACTTGGCTCTCTAATTAACAATCCTGAGTCGTTATCCATTACACTACCCACACATCCAAGCTTACAGCAACTGATATTCCCAAGCAGTCACCCATCTAGATACTGACCAGGTTTAATGTTGTTTAACTTTGGTGATCATATGGGGACTGACATTTCAATGTGATGTGGCCGTAAACTTACATATGAATAAATAAAATATTAATAATTCAAAGAAGATAGATATTCATGCCTTAACCAAAGTTATTTAAAAATACTTAAATTTGCTTTTTAAATTATTTATGATTTATTATTCTAAAATTGTCCCCTTTTCACCTAAATTCCTTACATATCTTTAATTTACAAGAAACAGGAAAGGGCTATTATTATTATGCAATTATTATATTATCTAACCAAGGCCAACTACAGTTGGGATCATAGAGTGATTTTGAACTCCATGAACCTGACTATGATTGGATTTGGTTGAAAAAGGATCATTAGTTCACAATGACTAAGATCCTGACTGCCATCAGCCTTGGTATATTATCCAATCAAAGCAATTTATGAAGGTCATTCATTAAGCTATGAATGAATGAAGATCATAATCATCTTGATACAACTTGACAACCAATCAGAAGAGATTTTATTGTGCATTTGTAAACAGAAACTGTCATTTGGGTTTACTCAGTTATAAAATACCATTGAGTCAGTTTGTGTACTGCGTAACTATCACATTCACAACGATTGAGCAAATAGATTCTTCGTATTGTGTACAGGAATCAGAATAAAGTCCAGATTTATTTAGCAGAGTAGAGAAGAAGAAATGGATTTATAGAAGTTTGTTAAAGACCAACTAAAATTCTTAATGATTTTTTTTTATTTACATTTTCTATATTTCAGGCCATTTTCCTGCTTTCCAGTAATTATAAAAATATTAATTTTCCAATATTGGAGTTCATTCACCTTTCATAAGTCATCATCAAAGAGGTGTTTCTTTTATTCTATGTCATGGTTTATTCTATGGTTTAATTGATTGATTTGTTTTCTTATCAAGCCAGAAAATATTTTTAGATTGTAAGATTTTGTTTTTTCTGAGAAAATAATGATTTAATAATACAAGCCTTACTAATTGACTCATAGCTGGGGGGAGAAGAGGTGGATTCATACTTTTCCAAAGAGTATTTGCGTGTAAGTGAATACAATGAACTCAACTGGAATTGGAACTTAGTTTTCTGATTAACTATTCTGAGCCATTATCCATTACACCACCTGCACATCCAAGCTCACAGCACCTGGTATTCCCAAGCAGTTACCCATCTAGGTACTGACCAGACTCAATGTTGCTTAACTTCAGTGACCATACAATAATCCTTGTTTCAACACAAAGTGTCTATAAACCATAATTTCTTAATGGTATTTGAGTGTAAGTGAATGTAATAAAGCTAACTGGAATTTGAACTTGGCTCTCCAATTTCTAATTCTGAATCACAATCTATTGCACCACCTGCACATCCACTTGACTTCAGAGAGTCTCAGTCCAATGATAAGAATGAGTCAAGATAATTGGAGACTGTACTGCATATGATTCAATGATAAGTTGGATAATGTCTGAAGCATGTTATGATGATATGAATTCTGCTATCGCTTACAGTACTGGGCGTTCCCAAATTGTCCCCCTCCCCACCTATCTAAGAACTGATCAGGCTCAGTGCTGCATAACTTTGATGATCAAACGAGAATCAGTGACTTTTTTTTTAATCAATTCACTTTGAAAAATGCAATAATGCCACTTAGATGCAAGGGGCTACTTGAGGGGGGGTGGAGGGCAAAAGAAAATAAGAACACTTTAGAAGGAACTGGAAACCCAATCCTAAAAAGGAAAAGAGATAAACCTCTACTCCTGTTCAAAAGGTTGGAGAGGCATGTAAAGTGAACGATAGGTGCACATATCTACTCCTATTAGATATTAGACTTCAGAATGATTTAAACACAAGCATATGGATATCTATGACATCGCAATCCTGTCCTCAGTCACTGGGCAAGTCCATGGTTGATCCTTAGGGCCAGCCTTGGAGTTGGTTAATCGATCTTCAATTCACACCCGTACACATTGTGTTTTTTTTAGGTCACAGGGCAGGCGAAGGCCAAGTTGTATACTCAACGTCACTGATACGGTAGCTTTGGCAAGATGATGTCACAAGGAACAATGAAACAGCTGGGTAACACAACAACTTTATATCAAAAATTCATACATTGAACATTCTACTCACTAGATTAACAGCATGCAAATTTTCAGCAACTTACTCCTTAATATCCTGTGACACTATGTCTAGGCATTGCCGGTAAGCTGGTACAAGGCTGAAGTCTGATTTCTTCCACTCTGTGATTTCTTCATGCTGACAATTCAGGTGTATTTGGTAGTCTGAAACAAAGCTGGAGTCTAAGTTCTTTCTGCAGAATCTGTGTGGGGTTTAGCAAAGTGGGTCTTGAACCAACTGGCACATGTCTCTCTTGCAAATAGCAATTTGGGCTGCCTGGTTCCTTCTTCTCCCAATACCCCATAGTGTCTTCTTGCTTTGCTCATCTATATTTATGGACCTTCACACAAACGCAGTATGGGGTATGAGGTGGTCGAGGAATTAATTGCCTGACCAAATTTGGGGAGATCTCTCCGCCAAAGAGTGGTGGTGGCAGAATATTGATCTGCCCAACTCCTTCCATCTCGTGTGGGTGCCTCTCACCATCACTACCAAAGGGGTGCAGGCAATTCCTCCATCTATCTTGAAATTCCACCTGGGCCTTTTACCTCTCCTAATCAAATCCGTCCCCTGAGGTTAGGTGTGGTCTAGGCCAAAATGTTAAATTCAATTATCATCCAAATTTTCTATCATTGGGGAATTCTTATTGCATCCTTGTGTGGTCAGCTGCATCTGGGATTCGTTACCTGTTGCTTCTCCAAACCAGATTTTTGGTCAACAAGTGACAAAGAGACAATTCCACTTAATAAATTTTATCACGTCTTAGGCAGACAAAGGAAAAATATAACTACAATGCCATTCCTGTTTTCCAAGTCCTATCAACTGACAGAATTTTGGCTAGTGACTCGTTCCAAGCTGTCATGAATACTTGAAATCATTAAAATGTAATCTATTCTACTGTGTGGGTCAAGTGGACACTTAAAAATACCATCACTTAAGATCAAGTTGACCATGTACAGATGGCTTCTACAATAGTTGTTGTTGATACCCACATACCGAGGTAAGGAGAGACAGGAAAAAAAACATCCTCTCCCCCAACTCTCTTTGTTTTTCTTAGTATACTTTCAGTTTATTGAAAACAGCATTTCTCTTGTTTTTCTTGTTATATTTTCAGTCCATCAAAAAAACATCATTTTTCTTTCTTGTTTTTCAGTTTATTTTGAAAGCCTTTTTCCCAGTTTACCAGCACCTTTGTAATAGTGTCACATATCTGTATAAAACAATTTTAAGTTGGCAAGGGATTTAATGTAAAGTTTAAGTGGATTTTTAATTGTATATCAACATTTTAGTCATTTTATGCCAAAACTGATTTATTTTGTCTTACATTTAGGGAAAATGGACAATCTTTGTTTTGTTTTTTATATGTTCAGATATAATCCAACTGATTTTAGGAATGTTATAATTTTATTTATTTTAATATTTTCAAATAGTTCTTTTAGGCTGTTTGCCTTGAAGAAATTGTATTTTTTGGAGTCTTGAACAATACATTCAATTAGAAAATGTTTTACCATATATTGGGTTTGGTATGTAGGACACTATAGCAGTTCTTTTTGTTTCCGTAAGAATGAATGTGTAATTTTAGTATGACCTATTCATAGCCATGTTATAGTAACTTCTTCCCTTAGGGATTTTCCATGATGGCAGAAATTTTTCCTGAGAGTTGATAGGATTGTATTTAGTTTATTTAGCATTTTTCTGCAACATCATTCTTGCCATTGATTTTGCTTGTGTTTCTTAATTAAGGGTTTTAGGTTAGTACACGGTGGATAGTGGCTCGGATTAAGGAATCGGAGAGCTGAGTTCATATTCCAGTTGAATCCGTTACATTCACTTACATGCTAATACTCTTGGGAAAGGTATGAATCCTTTTCTTCACACCCCAGCTATGGATAAATAACAGACTGGGTTCTGTAGCCTTGGATGGCAACTGGTCTACCACAGAAAGAAATGGCAACCTACTGTGGGGAAAAACTGCTTTGTCAATCTTGTATAGAAAGATATATGATCGTGTAAGTGTGTATCACGCATGGCACATAACTGACTGATATGGGATTTGGAAATTTTCAGGAACCAGTCTTAATGCCTGTTTAGCACTTTTGTCTGCTCTATGATTGCCTTTAATTCCTACATGACTAGAAATCCAGATGAACAGAATTTTTTTGAAAGTAGAGATGGCATGAATTTTTTTACTATATTTTAGGTATCAAAAAGGTTTTCCACCTTTTTGTTTTTGATAGATATTCATACTGATATGGAAGCAGAAAAGATGATAAGTTTTGAAGATTTTTCTTTGGCGAACACATCAAAGGTTGATTTGCTGTAAACACTTTTTCAAAGTAAAACTTAGCAACATTTTTAGCAGCAGTTTACTGAAGGTTCAACAAATCTCCATGCAATTTACAACATATATTTATTATAGATATTTTTCCAAGTTGTAAAACAGTTTCCAATGGTAACACTATACTGAATATATTCTCATGACTCAGAAATTAAAAAAACCTGCTTATTAAACCAAGCACATTCCATGATAATGCAATTTTTGAAGACACCAGCAGCTGCAGTATTCCAAAAACCAATTAAGTAAGGAATAACTCACCTGCCCACTTGCTTAGCCAATTCCTTAGCTCGAGATTTTGTTTCTTCAGAACTATTCTCTGAGCCCATGTAACAAGTTGTGAAAAGATGATTGGCCAAATCCTGGTGATTGGTTGGCATATACTTGTCATCACCAACAATCTGTCGCATATCTCTGATTACCTGAGCATCTAAAAGAAACAAACAAAAGTTAAAAAGCTAAGAAAATTTTATAAATAATGCCTCTAAAATGAAACTGCTCTCATTTACCCACTATAGAGAACCCTCCCTGTCTCCCATCGAGATGGCTGCTGCACAACTCCATAAGAGTGCATCTCTGCACCTGCTTGGTCTAACACTGTCCCCTGACCTGAAATGGAACAACTACATTGAATCAATAGCTTCATCTATCGCAAAGAAAGTTGGTTCTCTGTGTTGCACCAAAAGACTTTTTTTTTGCCCGAGTCAATCCTTGAAATCTACAAATCAATCATTTGTCCTTGCATGGAATACTGCTGTCATATAAGGTCTGGTGTTCCTGCTGTTCATCTTGCGGTCCTCAACAAAATCCAGAGATGGATATACAACATGATTGGTCCTGATCTGACATCCCATCACTATCTCACTGATGTGCTGTGGCTTCCCTCTGTCTTTTCTACAAGTACTTTCATGGCAGCTGCTCCAATGAGCTACTTTCACTGGTTCCCAAACTGCATGAATTTTAGCATCCTACTAGGTTGGCATCCCACACTTTCACTGTCAAAACGGCTAAATGTAGCCATCTCTTCTACTCCAACAGCTTCGTATCTCGCACATCCTGCCAGTGGAACTCCCTTCCTATCACTTACTTTCCTGATAGCTATAATCTTCAAATATTCAAATGTAATGTCAATCAACATCTTCTGATGCCTTGACTTTGATCCCTGTTCTTCTCTTTTTTCTTTTCCCAAACACTCCTCTTTAGTCTTACTTTCACTCTCTGTAACCCCTTGCGTGCTAGTGGCATTCCCGTCAAATAAAGAAAAAAAATCATTTTAACAATGCAAACAAGTTTTGTAAGTTTGTGGAAAATTAATGTGGAATTGACCAAGGTTAAGTGGAATTGGCAAAAATATTTAACAAATGGAAGAAAAAGAACATGGCAAAATAAAAACAATATATGTGCATGTCAACACTAGGAAAAGCAACAGTAATAAGGCAAAAAGTTCACAAAGTAAAAATTGTGTTCACACATAAAAGGGATGCAGTCAAGTAATTGTAATCTTCTAACTTTAAGACAAGAAAAAAACAAAATATGGTGGATGGGACCAAGGAACTGTCCATTTTTATTGGTTAGAAAAAGAATCACAGCATGCATCTGTAGAATTTGTTTATAAATTTGGAGAAGGTATCCTTTTAGCAATCATTCCATTCTGATTGGAACCAACAAAAAATAAAATAATTATCTGTAGAGGTTAATTTTCTCAATATAAGTGGGGAGTAAAAAAGGCGTAAGCAGATATTTTTAAAGTGTATGCCATCTAATTTTAAGTAACTAAATACAAAAGATTGTTTTTTGGGTTTTTTTTAAGTAAGATTAATGTAAAAATATCAGATGTTTATAATATTTTCTAGAAGATGAAATAGTTGCTTTAAATGTTGCCAGAAAGTTTAAAAAGATATGGCAGAATGATACATGCAGGTCGCAAGAGTCATAAAGCCAAGAATTGCAGATCAAAAAAAGAACTGATTGACAGGTCACACATCAACAACAAAACCAAGTTTTCCTTCAATTTCCTTCTTTCAGTCTCTCAAAAACAGGAACTTATACATTCTAGAGTTATGCATGATTGGTTAAATAAACATGTGCATAAGCTGCTGAGGAAGATAGAGAGCTTGAAACAAAGTCCAGGTTTTTTTTCAACCATTTCTTTGGCAGAGAATACATATGGGTATTTTGGCCAGTGAGGCAAGACCAAAACTTATTGGGGTCATGATCTCACCTATGACCATCAGTTACTGCTAGACAAAAACTTTTCCCAAATCACTTCCATGACTTCTATTCTCCGTCTTACCAGTAAACCCCTTTATCTCATCTTTCAATTTATACCTGGACTTTTCCTACTGTGTTTACTATTTATTGGGCATCAATCAAACAACTTGATCCATTTAGACTTCTTTCAACATATTCAAATTATCCATATTACTTTTTCCATTGATCTTTGTGTGCTTCTAAGTTTGTTTTCAAGCAATTTTGTTAATTACCGTGATTCACACCTGTATGTCATAAGAGGCATTATACACTTGATGTTTTAAATATATTAGCAAGGGACTTTTCATTATGTTTTTATTTGTATTTAATACTTTCCAAACACTCATAATTTATTGTTTTAATACATTACCTGTCTTAAGTAGATGTATTCCATGACTTCTTCCAGTTCTTCACCTTCTAAAGATCTATTTTTCTTTTAACATTACATCGGAATATTACTTTTGGTATTTGTAAAACATCATAGAAATGTTGCCTATACATTTGCCAGAAAGCATTTTCAAGATAGGCTATAAGTGATTTAGGTAAAATTGTAATAAAAAAAAAAGAAAAAAAAAAAGGAAAATGTGGAATAGAAAGATGTTGTCATTGCATGTAAGTTGTAAATGAAAGTTAGATTCAAATCTGTTTTAAAAACAAAAATTAAACTCATAAGTAAAGAATTCACACTATATTTGGACTTACTTCCTTCTTTGACTGCTTTGAAGACCAGCCGGCACATAGATGATACAATACAAGCAACACTGGAACTATCAATGCCTCCACTCAGAGGCAAGAAATAACCATTCTGGCCACTCCGTCTCAGATAATCCCAAAGCCAACAAGCAGGGCCCAAACTTGAAAAAAAAAAATAGAACAAAATTTTACGTACTTTTTAATAAAATGCAGAAAAAAATCTCTTCTAAAAAAGCTTAAATATATCAAACAGGAATTAATTTTAAATAGCACTTAAAAATTTTAAAAAACAAAAAACTTGTTGACACCCCAAATTCTCATTGTGTGAATTTTCTTTATCAGATTTGTTTTCAACATAATAATATGAAATATAACAAAGACAAAATCTATTTTTGTATCATCTGCTTAAAATTTGTTTGGAGCAGGCAGATTAATGTACTCAATTTGGATCTTTTCCTACAAATTCTAACTCAAAATGTCGATTTCAATCTTCATAGAGAATGTCTGCAATATACTTTCCCCTCCCCAATTTATAGGCAGCAGAATACAAATACATACTCGGTTTTATTCCTAGCCAATAAAATAGGCCAGTTTTTGGTTTCATCTGACTCAGTCCCAGTCTGTTTTGTCTTAAAGTCAGAGCACTACATTTGTTTATCAGAATTTGCTCTTATATATCAACCCCAATTCTTAGTTTGTGAACTTTTTGCCATATTACTGTTGCTTTGCTTTATCACTGTTAATTTGCCTTGCGTATATTGTTTGCTTGATTTATATTATCTTTTGCTCAATTCTTTTCTTTTTCTTGTTATTCTTTATTGCAAACTTGGTCAATACTTTTCATTGGGCAGTTCTGGCATTTATTTACATTTAACAATGGTTACTCTCTCTACACAAAATATCATTAAAAACACAATAAATACACATGAGTCTATAGTTTAAAGAGGAATCATTCATTCCTAAAATAATTTCAATCATTCAAAGGCAAATCAGCTAAAGGTTTAAGAAAAATTGTTTTAATGTATGCTACATGATTTTGGAGTTAAAACTGTTTTGCCCATTTTTCACTTCTATATAACAATAAAAATAAAGATTGTATTTTGCAAAAAAAAAATGTCAACCAATGTATTTCTGGAAGATAATATTTTAAGGTAAGCAGTCTTTGTAATTATAGTTAGGTGTAAATTCTGAAATTAGTGAACTTTCAATACATTATGGCTTTAATAAATTTTTTTTAATAAAAACTGCATTAACTTAAAATTATGGTCATAACTTATTATGAGTGATAACTAATACATTGGGTGTATTGTTTTGTTAAAAAAAGAAATTAAATAATGTTTTGTACAAGTAATTTCTTTGTCTCCATTAAGAACAAATACCATATCAGCAACTCAACCAGGGAACAGATTTCTTTTAAAAAATTTCTTCTCTAGCAAATACATTTTAATTTAAAAAATATTGATGACAAATGTACTTTTAGTTTACACTTTATCTGCTTCACTGTTTTTTATCCTTGACTCTCTGGAGTGAGTGAAAGAGTACACTTGTGAGTAAAAAGGCACACTCATGTGAGTAAAAGATTCTACTAGAGTGAGTGAAAATTTTCATTTACATGAATCTTACAAAACAGTGCAGTAAATGAGTTCATCCTTCTTTGAATCTCCTGGGATGGCGCTACAGAATCACAAAGAACTGTACCAAATGACCAAAACCGCATCACTTGAGGTCTATCAACAGCAACAATAGCCTAAATGGATACCACATGTAACTCAAAGAGAAAATAATAACATAATCAAGACATTGACATTCCATGCTACTTCAAACAAAACGTTAGGAAGGAAGCCCCACCCCACTCACCTCAATACTGGAAAGAGACATAATAGCTACTGGACAAGAGAAATCTATTTTCCAGTAAAATGTTTTTGATATAAATATTTTATAAATTTCATTTGAAATTAGTACTGGCTGCTCAATCAATGAATGCTAAATGTTTCCTTATAAAGAAACAGCTAATATTACCATCAAGAGAATAAATGCAAGAATACAAAAGTTCATTCAATGGTGGGAAAGAGCTCATTTGAGTTGAATGAAAAAGTTCATTTTTACTAAATAATTTTAAAGAGATGTGTTACCTGATTTCTTCTTCAGCAGAATGATACTGCCAATCAATTGGATCTGTTAGGACCCTATTTTGCTTATGACACAAAGACACGGGCAATTCAACGCGTGGGTAATGACCTTCGTGTTCCGCCTGTAACAAAAGTTATCATCAGTTTATCATTGACCACAAATTACATCCTGAAACAATAAATGCCAAATAAACTTAATATATATCCACACACTATCCTCTTAGAATTCTATTCAAAAAAATATATATGTATGTGTATATTTACCACTAATATTATATATATATATATATATATATATATATATATATATATACACACACACACATATATTTTAACCATTTTATCCCAAGTAAGGGGATAATAGCACTAGCATGCAGGGGGTTACAAAGAGTGAAAGAAAATGAAAAAACTTTAGTGGGTAGAAATAAGGAATAGGACAATAAAGGAATAGGATTCAGGAAGATAGATGGTGATTGCTTTAGAAACATTAAAGAGGAAATCTCAACAGAACAATTGCCATGAAAAATATTTGTAGAAAAGACAGATGGAAGCTTTATCACATCAGAGAGAAAGTGACTCAAGTTGAAATACCAGAGCAGGATCAATTACATTACAGATCCTGCTTTGGATTTTGTAAAGAATCTCTAGATATACAACAAGAGCACCAGATCAGATATGAATAATAGATTTATAAATGTGCAAGATAGATTCTGATGAGAAAAATTGTCTTGCACGACAGTGAACCAACTTTCTTTGCAGCAGACCGACCAATTGATTCAATGTAATCATTCTATTTCATGTTAGTTGAAAATGTGAACCCAATAAGGTGCACTGAGTTGCTCTCTTGGAGTTTAGCATCAGTCATGCTGATGACAGGCATAGAAGTTTCTCTGTGATGATTAAATGAAAGCAGTTTCGTTTTGTTTTACAAATCATTCTTCATCCCAGTTAACCACTGATTGGAGGTCCTTTTCAAAGACAGTTGTCAGTTTTACGTTGTCGGATCTGTCAGATTTGCAACTAAAACAGGAGTAAATAGTTCTATCATCTGCACAAATACAGAGTTCACAAAAGATGGAATTTTATATAAAAGATAAACAAAGAACCATAATTATTTCATTTCAATGGATGATATTCAATCTAGAAAGTTGTAATAAAATGCAATAACAAAATAAAGAAATGACTAGAGAAAAATTTATAATGAAAATAGCTCATTTCAGACTCTATATCATGAAAGAAAAATGAATTATCTGTCCAACATGCTTTGTCTGCATGTGACTTTGTATATGTACATGCTTGCATTGGGTGTTTCTGCTTGTACCATTTATTATACATTTGATAAAGTCAGACACCAGAATACTACATTCCCCCTCCCCCAGTCAGTTTAGACAACATCTACACTGGACTAAGCGATAAAATCAAAGTTTGAGAAAAAAAAATTAGTTTATTTTTTTAAACCTTAAAAGAAAAAAATCAGATAATTAAAAGAATTTATTGAATTTTGGGAAAATTATTTAGTAATAAATAAAAACATTTTAAAAACTTTTTTTAAGTTTTGTAAAAATACTTCTAGGCCTTTTTAAAATATACAATCACACATGTAAAATGTATAGACACAGACAATCTGAATGAAACTGAAAATAAACATCTGTTTTGTAAGGGGTAATTTCTCTGACTGACAACAACCCCTGGTTAACAGGAAAACAATATAAGTCTAAGATTAAATTTTTTATATGTAAAATAATTGCTTATTTACTTCTGGACTCTGTAAAATTATTAATGTTGCTATATTTATTGAAGTAAATGCAATGGGTGCTGAGTTTAAAAAAATAAAATTTCTTAAAGTTTATTTCACCAATCCAGTCTGGACTAATTCCTCAGAAACTATATTTGTTGCATAAGAGTTTAATGTCATGCTAGTAGCATCTGATAAGAATACGAGACGAAATTCTTCATACATAAAATAACTGTTTATTCACTTCTGGGTACAGTCATACTAATGTAGGCTGAATCAAAGATATGTGGTTTGGGGTCTTTCTTCCTCTTCAGGGTTGGATTGTTAAGACAAAAAAAATTAATGAAATTGATAGTTGTGATCATGGATAAGATTGAAATGACTTGGGAAGATAAAAATGAAAAAAAAACAAAAAAAAACTACGGCATCTTCCTTAATGAATTTAATATCAACATTAAGAAGTTTATCTGAGAATTTGTGAGGATTAAAATAAAATAGACATAATATGTCCAGAGTATTCAACCAAACATGCTTGAATGAAGATATACTGCCTGTATATTGATGAATTGGATCGTATTTACGACTCCAATGGAATAAATTATGACCATGGAATATTAGTGTTTAAGCCTTTTTATTATATCCTTACTCTGTCCTGGACATTGAGTTCTACCTGGATTCTATCCTCTTGGAATTTTTTATTCAAAATATATATGTATGTATATGCATGTATGTATATATATTTATATATTTTGCATATGTAGGTGTATATTTACCACTAATATTATCTATATCTATATATATATATATATATATATATATATATATATATATATACCACTTGTATTCAAGGATACATGTCTACTAGGGCGGCTAGCCAACACCTATTGCAGACACTTGCTCATGTATATTTGTTCTTTATTCAACACCCACAGAGCCCACCTGTGGTTTATACTAAGCTGAGCAGGCCTTAGTTACAGTTTCTGGAAAAGAGCGTGTTATCTAACATGATCAACAATTTGTACAAGCCCTTAGCCACGATGACTTGTGACTTCATGCTAGCACAGCTATCGACAGCCCCCAAAGATTCAGTCTACCCAATTTCACTCACAAGGCTTGGGTCAATTCGTGGTATGGTTTTCAGGCACTTTCGAAAAGTGCCGCACACTGGAATTGACTCCCCTCCAGTCTGATAACATCAGGAAGTCTCCTTCCTGACAAATCAACCATGGTAAGATTCAAACCAAGGTCTCATGGTCAGAATGTGAACGTTCTAACCACTTGGCCACATGCCCATATATATATATATACATATATATATGTGACATACCTACAATTTCATTAATCATATAGGCGTAAGGCCATTTCCAAAAGAATTGACAGCTGACAAAATATTGTTTTAACATAAGAACTCTCGCTTCGGCGAATTAGAACTATGTGGAAATATCAACTCGATTGGCCCATCAAGACAGATAAGTTGATTTCTTGGCTTGATCTTTTTATGTATATGTATGTATTCATTTGTACTTTCTTTTCTTCCATGATCCCTTTTCCCTCTGTTAAACAAATTTTCTCAGCTGATCATAGGAATGACATGGTCATTGACCAGTAAAGGTTTAAAGAACTTTAGTTAAGAGACTCACTTTTAAGCTGAAACTCTTCCTGCGGTTTCTGTAAATTCCAACTTCATCCAGATCAGCTGTAGCTGAAATAGTCAGCTGAAATGAGACAGTAAGATCAAATGATAGAAAAAAAAACACAAGAACAATATTAAAAGCTTAAAACACAATTAACACTACCAAATACACAAGTATAATTAAGAGAATTAACATTTCAACACACCATCTTTATGCTTCACTGAAAGAGTCTCTTTGCCAAAAATGTCAGATATTATGAATGGAAAAATGCTTACCACTTGCTCAAGTGAAAACTGAGGTCCTTGTGCTAAGAACTGGCCATTCATGCAAATAGATGAACACCCATCATAGTAGAGGCGATCACTGTCACAGCCAAAGAAGTTAGAGTACAAATACAATCCGCCACACTGCAAAATAAGGGAGATAATTAGCATAAATATAACGTTTCAGAGTCAATTTATTAGCAACTAACAATAGAGGAGTTAAAATCAATTTAAAAATCAACATTTTTCGCTTTTATAAGTGTCATGAAATTGAACAATTCATCTTCACCAAACAGAACATGGACTTTATTTATCAATTCACAACAGAATCTGCAATATATATATATATATATATATATATGACATGAGTAAAATAAATTTTGAGATAAGTCATTGAACTTTTATTTATTTATTCACACACACTCTTGTGTGTGTGTATATATATATATATATATGTATGAAAAATGCAGACATAAAATATATCTGTAAAAAGACAGTATTAATAAAGACTAAAGGAAAACTTTTCTTTACCAACACATTTCATCCTTTGACGCATTTTATCAAGGTAAATGGGAGGATTTTATTTTGCAACACATATTTATAAACAGAAATAAAAATGTTGTTTTCAAAATTTTGAAATTTAAGAATGCTCATGAATATACATCAGGTTAACTGAAAGTCAAGGTAAACTATGATGGATGCTAAGTGATGTAATTTAATGCTTAATAAACAAAAGTGAGTAAATGTTATTGTTGAATTTTTTTTTAATGTAATTATAATTTATTTTAAATAAGAGACTTCTTAAAAGCAAAAACAATTTGTACATTAAAGCAAACACAATTAGGAAACATTGTTTCTAAGAATTTCATTCAAAGTTCAAAGACTATTTTCCACTATATGTAATTTAGAAGAATGCTGAAGATGCTTAACTAGACAGTTATAGACCCCATCCATAGAGATACCTTTTATAAAAATAGTAATTACAATTCTAGTTATCAATTCAATGATTACTAAACATATGTTCGTTATTTTCCTATTACAATAAATGATAGCCAAAACACATTCAAGAAGAAAGCTTCCATGTTTGATGACATACAAAACTTCTCCCTCATATTTAATATCACAACATTATAGAGTTTATGCTATTTGCATCATTCAAACTGTTGTACTCATTTTTATTGCCATATTCATGATGTTGCATGCTTCATCTTTCTTCAGGTGATATATATTGGAATGTAAATATTGTAAATAATTACAATTCTTCATCTCAGCAATACAGACAGATATTATACAGTTATGTAAAAGTACAGGTAGTCTTGTATGTGGGTAAACATTAACCTATCAAAAACCTGGACTTTACATATAAAACCTCCCTGAGACATTTTTTTTCAGGGGGTGGGTAGAGAATAGATCTTTATATGCCAGCGGAGGTGGAGGAGGAATGGGAGAGGAGGTGAAGAAGAAGGAGTTATAACTTTGAAACCTTATTTGTAGCTTCTTTAATGGCTTCCACTCGTAGATTGGCCTTGCGGAGTTGATGATGACTTCCACTGGAGTTCAAAATTATTTCCACATTGTCCAAACTCATAGAATTAAGGGGACTAAAATAAAAAGAAGAAATAATATAGACACAAAAATATGTATATAGGATTTTCTAACAGGTGGCCATTACAAATTTGGTTTTATTGGGATTTATAGAATGCCATTAATTTTACTGAATCACATGTGGTGAGATGAGAAAAAAAAATTAAAATCCAATTCCTGATCTATATTTTATTCATTTTTAACCAATATTTTACTTTCACAAAGTGTACTAAATCTACTGATCTGTGATCAATAAAGCAACTAAAAAAAAAAAAAACTAAAGACATCATCAAAAATAAATATTTGAGAATACTTTATCTAATAAAATATTAAAATCTATCTTGTTGCTAAAGTGGGAAAAACAAAAATGGTCCTGGTGAAGATCATGTAATGAATTTAGGATTTGATCTTTGTTTTCTGTAAAGATGTCAAATTCTCATTGTATAGCAGTTAAAGCAGCTGAACATTTAGCCAAAAAAAGAGACAGACGTTCAAATCTCATCAAAAACTTATCTTTTATTTCTGACACTGCTTTCTTACTACTACTAGAGATTGACAGCCTGAATAAAGTTGAAATCAAAATAAACTAAAAAATTATGATGAAAGTAAATACTAGTCAAAAGTTAAACATATCGACAATGGTTCATATAATAAAAAAAAGTAATACATCTGGCATTGAAAGAGGTCATGAAAGGAGTAATGAGTTTAAAAGGTTATAGATTTGTTCCTCTGTAAAGATGTCAAGATATTGTAGCTTAGTGGTAAATCAGCTGAGCATTTACAAGGTTTCTCTGAGACAAAATGAATGTGAGTTCAAATCTCACGAGAAAATTATCCTTTGTTTCTTATACATGTTGCTTACCTATTGTCATATGTAGATTGATGGCCTGAGTAAATGTTGTGATAAAAAAAAAAACAACTAAAAATTAAAGTTTCATCTAATAAAAGATAAAGATAACACTCAACCTTTCCCAACCTGAAAAATATTTTTAAATCGGTACAAGTTGAAAAATAAAATGTAAAGAAATATCAAACTGGTTTAAGTACAGATTAGTGCAATCTGAACTTTGACCTATCATGATGGATGGGTGTTCTCCCAAGGCTCCTTTCCTTGAACATTCATTGGGACCCAAGCTCACCCTAAATCTCGAGTAGGACTCATATATATGATCTATTGCTAAAGATGCTGGAAGAAAGGTCAGTTCCCTGTAACGCTCCATTAAGTATCTGATGACCTTGCTATACTTTATCTTTATAAGAGTCAAATCAGACCAAAAATGAAATATTGCTGCCATATCTGGGCTGGATCTGCCCAGTCCTCATTTACCTATCTTGATAGGATTTAAAAGTGTCTACATAGCCTTGTGGGTGATGAATTATTTTCCACCTTACAACCCTCCCCTCCCTAGATGAAACATTGCAAACCTCTCACTACTATATTGTTATTTCTATGGCATGTGTTCTGATAAGCTATATTCTTTGGTTCTTAATAGCCTTGACCTTTGCAGCTGGGACTTGCCATGCCATTCAAGGATGAATCATCCTCATACCATTTATAGCCCAATAGTAAGAAGAAAGTTCCACTTGGACAGCTTCTTCCCAAGAACTGTTGGTTCATGGAATAGACTCCAGGTTGGATGTTTTCTCAATCACTATAAACCTGACTTCTTCAAGTTTAAGATTAACCATTATGTTTCCCATATAACCTCATGAACTGCACTACTTGCCTTTTCTCATGTGAATACAGTACCACATAGTAACCTTCTACTTTGAGTGGCTCTTGAACCTTGTATTGAGTGAATATTAGTTTTAAAAAAAGTGATTTTGAAATCCTGTTCAATGAAATTATATTCAAATTATCAGGGAATTGGATTAGAGATTAGTTAAGTATCAATCCCATTTAATTAATCATTATAGAAGTACCAATCTATCTATGCCATAAAAGATTACGCCAATTTTAAGAAAGTTTTAATAGTACGATGTAATGAAACAAGTCTTGAAACAATGTATTGAGATTCAATAAATCAGAGATAAAGAATTCACAACTAAAATAGAGTCCAATGAACCGTTTAATTAATCCATTCCATTTATATTTTTAGACGTTCAGTGGGATTTATGATTCATTGATCACTCATACTATTATATAAACTGCATTTTGCTCAATATCTTTTTATGTTAAAAAATTTTATGTGTTTAATATAACAGTGAAATATCTCTCGAAAGAAAAAGATTAGCAACACAATGACAAAGATGGTGATGACAAAGTCTATTTCAAGACTAAATTGAAGCAAGACAATCACTTAATAGACAAAGGTATTTGAGTGCCTCACATCAAAGGATTGAACAGATAAGACTGCAACCTAAAAGTGTAGGAGTAAAGGAACTGATTAATTAAACATTTCATTTTACTCAGGAAGTAATTTTGTCTAAATGCCGATAAATATTTACTTATATAGATTATTATTAATATCACTATTATTAAAAGAATGCAAAATTGAACTTAATGATATTTTTACTTATTCATAAAGAGGTTGCACAAACTGAAAAAAAATACATTGAATTATTACCAATGCAGATATTTTTTTTAAGTATATGACTCTTTATCATGTCAGTTGTTTAGTACTTTCACTGATGCATTGTTATAGCATTCTTGCCTGGCTGTGCTGGCCCATTTTGGGAAATAAATGACAATAAGGACACTGATAGTAATTTTTCATTTTGGTTTCAACAGGCTACTCTGCAGTACAGACTAACCTAAATGACACCTCAAACACAATAAAAATGTCACAAAACAGGTCATATTGTACACTAGTATATGTCTACACTGGTTAGGAAATATCACTACACTAGGTTCTAACACTAGGGACCAACATTTCATGTTGCCCTGAAAATAGATATACGTGTAGTCAGCAAATAATATAAATTTCAGAAAGATATATATCTTGAAAATATATACATATTCATTAACAGCAGATAATGTAAGTTTCATAAAGATGTTTAAATATTTTTTGAATATATATATATATATATATATATATATATATGTGTGTGTGTGTCAACAGCAGGCAAAGTAAGTTTCAAGTACTTCTACAGCAGTGGAAATATTAAAAATTTAGATAATTAATCTATGAAAAAAATTTTAAAAAATAAAGGTAAAAAATGCAAAAAGAGTGGATGAGTTACTAACCTGCTTGGTACAAACATTTCTTCACAAGTCTCAAAACCGATTGAAGTGTCCAAAGTGGAAATAATACAATCACCAAAGGGAACAATTTTCTAGAATTGCAACAGAGGAATTAAAAGGTTAAAAGTTTGTTTTTAATAATCAAAGCAAAACAAAACATGAACTTTTTTTTGTGAAAGATAATCATCAAAGATAATCAATTTCTCAACATAATCGATTTCTCATATCATGACCAAACATTAGAACTTTTTTTTTTAAATTCCATATTTGGTCAGGCTGGGAACTCTTCAAGCACTGCTTTGTAATCACCAACACTGAGCTTTTATGTTTGACAAAGTAAATGACCAAACACTGATAAGACATGGTCATTTTTTGGGTCCAAAATGGCAGATAGGACTTGAAGGATAAGAAGGATTTCTTTGTCTTTACCTGTTTAGCGATGTCCTGGATTATTTCAGGTAAGGCATGATCCTCAAATTGCTTCAGTTTTGTCCAGGGATTGAACCATCTCAATTCTCGATAGTTGCCATCATTACAGAGAGTTAGTTTAGGCCTGATCAGGACTATCTTCCTAGGGAGATAAAAACACAAGAAATAAAATACAAGAATAATTTCTTTTCTATTTATGAAGAGAATACAAAGTAATTTATTATTTACATTTGGACTCATATTCTCATTTTTGTTGTTATCATGTTTCTACCATTGTACTTTCTGGACTTCTTCAGGTGCCTATACCATATGGAAGCATTTAATAAATAAAGAGAAACAACAGCAAGGCTTCAGCAGCAGCAGCAGTAAAAGAAAGGAAAAGTGGTGGCCAAGATGGTCAAGTGTGACAGCAGCAGCAGAGTCAGCAGCAGCAGAGTCAGCAGCAGTCATACAATATGAACATTAGGCTTCAGGTTGCCAGTTTTTGGTTCAGGACTGTATACTGGGACAACAGGCTAACAAATTAAAGAATTAGTTCATGAAGTTGTTGACATTGTAATGTGAGTCAAATCCCTGGGACAGAGGTAGTAAACAGACTCAGTGGAAACAGATTGAGAAATAACAGAGCAGTACTAAAAAGAAGAATAAGACTAGACATCCCTACATATGGACAGTGGAGTGGGAAAAATCTATCAGCATAGATTAAAGGGCTTAGTTCAAAATTACCTGAGGATTAACCAGGCTGAGTGTCAACAAAAGAAAGCTGAAGGTTTGATTGATTCATTTTCTATGGCTTATCAACCTTTTGCAAGTTATTTAAAGCCAGAAAATATTTTTAGAGTGTAAATTTTGTTTTTTGGGGGGAAGTGGAGAGATAATAATGGTTTTAGTGACACAAGTCTTACTAATTAAACCATAGCTGGGGAGGAGAAGAGGTGAATTCATAATTTTCCAAAGGATATTTGCACATAAATAAATATAACAAACCCAACTGGAACAGGAACTTGGCTCTCCGATTGACAATTCCAAGCCATTACCCATTACACCACCCACACATCCAAGTGTACAACACCTGGTATTCCCAAGTAGTCAACCATCTAGGTACTGACTGGGCTCAACATTGCTTAACTTCAGTGGTCATACTAGCTATTTCAACTGGAAAATGATGAGCACTAGCTGTGAATTTAGTACTGCGCTTAAATTTGTGAGGAATGCCTATTAGAACAGCTACCATGAAAAGATTTATAAAAATTGCACAGGGAAGCTACGTTATGGTGGGAGAAAAGTGACTGAAGCTGAGATGCCAGGTCAGGATGGATAACATTACACAATCCATATATTTCAACACCGTTTCTATCCTTGTCACTGCACCTAATTCATTGGGGAATATTAATCACATAACTTGAACATAGTAGTATCTAGGCTATAGATTTATTGATTCACCATTGCACACTGAAAAACACACTTTTGATTTCTCACAATTAGCAGTGGGATACTTGTAAAATCAACTATTACAAATGAATGCTAAGTTTTTAAATGCGTATTTCACTGTGATTTTGATAAGGGACAATTATAGAAATGATTGTCTTTCATATTGAAAGGTCGTAAAATTCATATGCACATATACAGAATAGTATAACTGTAAACATTGATAAGAAAATTATCTTTGTAACTAATATCTGATAGGGTACGTGGTATGTGAGAGAGAAGTACAAGCTGTAATGACGCAGAAGCTTTTTTTCTTTCATTCTTCCGTGATATGGATTAATCATAAGTTGATGAGTGCCAATTTAATCTATTGCAAAGTGAATAGAGAGTACAGCTTTTTGTTCTTTTTTATGTGATCATGGCTCTCTACAAATTCTTATACTTGTAGCTTTACTACAGTAGCCAAGCTGGTGTGAATGTGGATCTGTGTTTTGATAAGCAATGACCCTCTACTCCACTTGAGTCTTAGGGGCATACAATGACAGAGTTGGCCCCAGGCATCACTAAACCTCTGCATGTCACTACCTTACTATACTTCCAAGTCCTTCTTCTGTTATACATTTACACAAATTTGTTAAATAGGTTATTTGCTGTTTTCCTCTGGTTTTCTTGACTTCAATATGTCCTGCAAGTGTCTAATTCTCCAAACCCTCTTTCTTCATTATGTGCTCTTGAGATTTTTTTTAATCATTTTGCCCAAAGCAAGGCAACAAAGCCACTAAGATATAAGAAACTGTGAGCATAGATCTTATGGTTAAATTTACCTAGTTCAAATGTAAAATGATGAGATCTAGTTGCCATTCTAGTACTGCACTTAAATTTGTAAAGTCAAGATACCAAAGAAGAAATCTCATCAGAACAATTAAAAATATTTATAGAAAGGCACAGGGAAGCTATGTTACAGTGATGAGAACATGACTGAAGCTGATATGCCAGGTCAGGAGGGATAACATTGCACATTCTTCTTTGGATTTTATCAAGAATCTCTAGATATATAGCAGAAGCACCAGACTAGATGTGACAGCAACAATATTCAATGTACAGATGAATGGTAGAATTATACATTTGGAAGATAGATTCTGGCAATAAAAAATTGTTTAAGTGAAGCAAGTTTCTAAACAGCAGACCTAGCAATTGTTTCAATATTATCTTTTCACTTCATGTCAGTGAGAAATGTTAGCCTGATAAAATGCAATGAATCACACTGTTGGAAGTTAGTATCAGTCATGTTGATGGAAGCCAAAATTTGTTCTTTAATATGATTAAAACTGTAGTTTTGTTTTGAAAGTGTTAGAATTAACAATTAAATGTGAAGAAAACCAGCATGCCAAAACCTGTCAAATGACTTCAAGATATCTTTTTTCTGATTCAGAGCACAAAAATCCCTTTCACTTTCATTTTTCTTAAAACTTTCTTGTTGCTCAGTGACCTGGATCTATATACACCTGATGAAGGCTGGAGGTCACAATGACCAAAATATTGGAATAACAACAAAAATAATGAGGACAATAGTCCAAATGTAAATAGTACAAATAATAAATAACTAAGAATTATCATTATCAAAATCAACAAAAAAAAAAAAAAAAAAAAAGAAGAAATGATTTCTAAAAAAATTAGTAAGCCTATAAAAAATTTCACTGAGATTTTATGCCATCTCATAATATTCATGTTCCTTTTACAATAATTTAAGACCAAAATTTGTTTCCTGATATGCAGGTAGTGTTAGCAACTTAAAACCAGAAATGAGAAAGTTGAGTTAGTTACATTCACTTTCAAATACCCATGAGAAAGTTAGGAATCCATCTCATCTAACCCAACCACCACCACCCAACTCCCCACCCAGATATTGGTTGAATAGCAGGACTGTGTCCTATAGCCTTTGTTGGCAATCTGTCTAGCAGAATGACAACTGAATTCAAAACCCATTAACCTGAAGCTGTACAAAGATAGCTCAAGATTGGGTACAGATATAGTGGTGTGGCTAGAGGTGAGCAGAGGGGGCAGTCCACCCCAGGTGGCACTTTTGTGTCTGCTGTAAACTATAAGCCTGTATAGGCTGTATTGAAATAAAAGTGGTCTTAATGTTATGACAGTACTCACTCAATTTCGAGTAACTTAAACTATAGCATATCTACTGTCTATAGAGTAACAAGTGAAATAGTTTTTGATGTCATTGAAGAATTAGCCAACAGTTACTTTGTTGATCCTAATTTTTTAACACTTTTTTTCCTATATGTTGTTTTTGTTTTTAACTGTTACTGATAAAATTTAAGTATATTTGGTGTGTATTTAAAGCATACTATATGTGAAAGTAATATTATAATGATACACAAACTAGTTTTATAACTTTAAGTGTGAGTCACTGTGCAATATGTATTTTTTGTGGGGGTGGCAAACTCAAGGACCACCCCGAGCAGTACACACTCTAAATATGCCACTGTACAGATATTATGTCTGTAAAAATAAAATATGATATTCAGAATGTTGTTGATACCAACAGGCATTTTAAGCTCATGGAGTAATTGAGTTTATTCATTGTTCCATAATGATTTCTAAAAATCTTAATAAAAACAACTTATAAGAAAAATTCACTGAGGCTTTATACTTAGTCATACTAGTTTCTTTTTTAAATAATTAAGTTTGTTTATTATTACATAACCAGTGATTATGGCAGTGATGATTAATGTAATCAGTTACAGATGGTGATTTGGGTGGGTCCCTGGTAAATTCAATGGTTTCCAACTGAAGTTACTTAATAAATTGATGTGTTAAACTGCAGGGTTACAAACTCAGAGTTTTTTTTACTATTGTCCCCCAAAATAATTTTAATCATGCCAAATCACATAAATTGAGAGAAGAATTTTGTTTTTGTTTTGATTAAATTAATAAATTCAATACAAAAACAGTATTTTACACTTAATCACAATTCAATTAAGAAACTATATTTTCTTGAGAATTATGAAAGAACAAAGTTTTTTTTTTTAAACTGACAGAACAATTTTTTTTTTTAAATTAAATACAAAAATAAAAAAATGAACCAAGAAAGGGTGTGGTAAGGCAACACTGATATCTATTTCATGCCACCCACACATCCCACCACCCAATAAAAGCAGGAAAGATTAAGAGAAAGGAAGAACTAGTAAAAAGTATTTGAAAGACTAACATCAAATGATTAATACAGTGTTTATTATTTAAAATTACAAAAAATATTGGCCTCCCTACAGCATATACCAACCCTTACAGGAAAATTTATTTTGTCTAAAGACATTTTTTGAGCCCTTTTAAACGTTATTTGAACAGTGAACCGAATGTTAAATACAAATGTCTCTGCTTGTTACTTAAAACCTTTCACATTCAAAGTTTTAAAAAGGATGTTAACAACAAAATTGCAAAAAAAAATTAAAATATCTATGCACTAATTACCATCAATATCTCGCACATTTGACAAATGATTTGCGTTTGGTTACTGTAAGAATATATTAGTTACATTTTAAATTGAATTGACATTGTTGTTTACTTAGTATTGACCAATTACCATAGGTTTTATGCAATGTATAACTTTTCTGAGAGACTTTAGTTGCATTCCTAAGATGCACAGATGGGAATGTTAATGTCCTTTAAGATTTTTGTGTCAGGGACACTGGACACATAACTATCAGCATGACAATGCTAAAAATGTCAAAAAAAAAAAAAAAAAAAAAAAGATTATAAAAATTTCATTGAGGTCTTACACATAGATATCGTCATGTTCTTTTTAGAATAATTTTATTTATTTACCACTTCATTGGCTTTCATAGAACTAATTAGACTTGGTTGGTTAACACATCTGGGAAAAGTCTCTCAAGTTGTTAACTGTTGATATTTCAACACTATTCCCAAATGTTAATAGATTTATTGATTTTCTATAAAATCATTATTTTTTCATGATTGCTAATTCTTATTTCTTGATGTTTTATTGTACACAACATGGACATGTGTGTGTACAGCTTCCAAATCACATGACTGTGTTTATTTGCTGTACAGCTAATCCCAGATAATGAGTTAATGTCTTTACCATCTTCTATTTGAGACACATTTAACTAGCAATGTACTGTATTTCGATGCTTATAAGATGCTGTAATGCATTAAATGCTCCTGCCATAAATTTTGAAGGAAGAAATTTAAAAAAAATTTTTTTTTTTCTTGTATTTCATGTTTTACCTACTGAATAGAATATTTCAGCCTGAAATCCTCCCTAATTATGACAAAATCATGACCAAGCAGGATTGAGCACTAATTTTAAACTAGATACATGTAAATTTGGATACAGAAATACAGTTAAGTTTGATTTATGTGTAGGTTTAAAACATATGATAATGCTTACCATACTGCTGAATCCTTATACTAGTATTATAGCTTGAAATCATCAGTACCGGTAATCTTGACAAGTTTATCCTAAATACGTAAATAGCTTATCTCAAAACATTATTTTAATTTTGAAACACTGGACTTGTTTTACTTCCAAGGGATCAGAATCAAATGTAACTGGAGAGCTGACTCTTGTTACTGACCTTCAATTTATAGAACACAAGTTGGTTTTAGAGATATTTTATAGGAAAAAAAATGCAACTTATAAGCAGAAAAATATGGTATGTTGAGATACATAATAAAAATTTATTATTAATCCTTATACATTTAAAAAAGCAAATAATATAGCATGTTGAAACACTGGTTCTCATACAAAAACCAAAATTAAGCAATGCTGAGCCTGGTCAGTATATAGATGGGTGACCACTTGAGAATATCAAGTGTTGTAAACTTGGATGTGCAGGTAGTGTAATGAATAACTTCTTGGAATTGGAAACGAGAAAGCTGATTTCCAATTCTTGCTGGGTTCATTATATTCCCATGCATAAAGGTACAAATCCACATCCGCCCCCACCATTCTGGTTATGGTTTGATTAGTAGAACTTGTATCAGTAAATCATTATTTTATCGCAACAATCCTTACAATCTAAAAATATTTTTTGGCTTTAAATAACCTGCAATGGGTTGATAAGCTGTAAAAAACAAATAAATTAATCAAACCCACTTATAATTACAGAACATAAAGATGAGAACAACAGTCTGAATGATGTAAACAGTGTAAATAGTTACAATACCTCATCTCAGAAATATAAACAGATATTAAAAGAGAGGAAATTGGGGAGAGCCATGATCGGCAATGTCCTGAAGGGACACAGCACATAGATGATGATGATGTTTATAATTAAGAGGAGAGTCCTTTTATAGCTTTTTTTAAAATTAGAAATCAACATAAAGAGAATTTTTTTTTCTCCTTCAATGTTTGATAAAACAAAAGAAAAATAAGAACTCACTTGTTATAAAATATGACACGGCAATTGTACAAATTGTTATTGTGAAGCACTGGCCTGAAATAAAAAGATAATTATTTTAGAGAGTACAAAATGCATTCTTCAGAAAATAACAAATGTTTTATGTAATGCTTTATACATGGCTGATCACCTAGAAATACTGAGGCCTGAGAGAATCAGAAAATGACTGATATGTTACTCATCAATCTACTGAATGACAATTTCTTTTTTTCTACTTGGATACCATAACAGCATTTATATAATTAGATCCTGAATAGAATAGCTCGCAACCATTAATTTCCTTTTTACCCTATTTGTAAATAATTTCTGGTTGCCTTTATAAAATATATCCAGTTAATGAAATAAATGATTTTTTATGGCCATTAATACAATAAACGAATTTCATAGCATTTGCTACATAGCAAATTTATGTGAATACCATTAAAACTCATGCAATTTGCACACCTGTGTAATTTACTCAGGCAATTTTCAGGATAAATTTTGTTAAAACAAACTACTACTCATGTAAAATTTGCACCCCAAAATTTTCAGAATTGTTGATATGGCTAGGGGCAAGAGGTTTTCAATTTACTTGTATTACAATTAGATTTTATTAAATTTTCATTAAATAAAAATAATTCCCATTTAACAGGTATCACATTAAAAGATATTAAATTATATGACCTGGATTATGCTCACATGTAGAAGTCAGGATAGTGATTGTCAACATTGTAAATGTTTCTTTACAATTTACACCCTTTTCCTTAGCATCCTCAAAAATTTTGCTGATCTCACAACAAAACAAGAAAAACAGACAAGAATAAAACCATACAGTGAAGATTATCCAAATCATTACATTTTTTTCCCAGTCAAGAATATCCATATCACTATGTATGTCAAAGGTGCTCCATTGCAATAGGTAGAAACTCCAAGCCATGTAACATGTGGCCTGAATCGAGATTACGAGCATGAACATCAGACTTCAAAAAGTTGTTAACCATTTAATGGATTTAGTAAATAAAAGTCAACTTCATTACATTTAAGGTCTTACTTTTTTTGTATAAACTTACTCTGACATTAAATGGGTCAATTTCCGGTATGAATCTTTATGTTTTGTACATCTTTTTTTAACAAGAAAAATTTAAACAAAAAACAAATCTACTCATGTAATTTATGTACTCCCTAAAGTCTATTTTTATTGTTGCAAAAAATATTCATAAATTACATGGATTTTTATAGTTATTTGCTTCATGTCTATTTATTGTTTCAAGAAAACAAGAGATTGAAAGATACCAGTTTTATTATATGAAAAATATTTGCTAAAAACAGAGTTACAGACATAAAATACCAGAACAAGAAATACAATTTGTAAATAAATTTGATAAAATTAATGTAGATATGCTACTATATATTAGTTAAGAAAGAAAAGTAACTTCTTGGATTAAGGAGGTAAGGTTAATCATATATATTAAATAAATTTCATAAATTGAAAGTAATTCTAAAAATATGCCTGCACATTACCAATGTTTGAATAATAAAGAAAAATTATGGTTTATTTTATTAATTTACATCATCCAGAAAAAAATTATTTTATAAGACTTGTTTGTCCATAGAGAAACATTAAGAGATTTACTCTCAGAATGAGGAATTTAATACATTATATATATACTCCTGGTTAGAATCTTAAGACAAGATACAAAAGAGTTAAAAAATATAAAATACTGTTACTTTAATAATATTAAAATAAATTAGCAAAAAATTTAAATTTAATTAGAAAATGTAGTTTATCAACAAACAAGTGAAAATTTTAAGCTTTTAATTGATTAATTTAAACAAACATTGAAAAAGTAATTTTGATTGGTCATAAATATAAGACCAGGTATGAAAAAAAAATTACTGGACAAAAATTTTAGAACTAGTGTGTGTGCTCATAGTTTCAGGCATGTCGAAATCTACTTAACTCATTTCCAGTATTAAATTTCAGATTTTAAAATGGCTAAGGGTAAAATTTTAACAAAGTTTGAACAGGGCAGGATTGTTAAACTTCAAAGACGAGGTCTTTCACAATAAGCTATTTCAAATGAAATTGGTCATAGCAGAACTGTTATTGCTAACTTCGTTAATAATTTGGATGTGTATGCTTCTAAAAAATCAACTGGTTGCCCCAATAAAATCTCACCATCTCTATTTAGATGCATTAGGTGAGAAGTTAAGAGATTCAAGCTTAACATCAAATCAAATAAAAGCGAATACAGATGCTGAATGCAGCTCTCGAACAATTTGATGGCATTTAAATAAGAAAGGGTTTAAGAATATGAAACGGCTGCAGAGCCTTCACCTTCTTCCTCACTATAAAACCTCCCATTTACAATTTGATTCTGATTATCAAACTTGGGATGCAGATAAATGGAAGAAAGTGTTGTTTTCAGATAAGAAAAAATTCAACCTTGATGGCCCAGACGGTTTTTAGCATTACTGGCATGCAAAAGATGTTCCAAAAGAAATTTTCTCAACACAACAGAATGGAGGTGGATCAATTATGGTCTGGGGTTCATTTTCATACAATGGAACTCTTGAGTTACAGGAGATAAAAGGTTGTCAAACAGCAGCTAGTTACATTGATATGTTAAGAAAGGTATCACTAATTACTGAAGGCCCTTATCTATGTGGAGAAAACTGGATTTTCTAGCAGGACAATGCTGCAATCCACAATGCTCAAAAGTTGAAGGAGTTTTTATGGAAAACATTCAGCTTTTGGGCCATCCACTGTGCTTTCCAAATCTAAACCCAATTGAGAATTTTGGGGGATGGATGGCAAAGGAGATTTATGAACATGGATTGCAATTTGAAACTGTGGTTGCTCTTCGTGCTGCAGTTTATGTATCCTACGTAAGCATCCCAAGCAACCTCATGCAGAAGTTAGTAATGAGTATGCCAATGCAAATTTTCAAAGTAATTCACAAAAATGGAGGATATACTGAATATTAAATTGTTGTTGTGGCTGTATTTTCTATTTTTATTTACATGGTCTTATCTTTATGATCAACCAAAAACATCCTTTTTTCAATGTTTGTTTAAATTAATTAAATGCTTAAAATTTTCACTTGTTTGTTGATAAACTACATTTTCTAATTAAATGTAAATGTTTTGCATATTTCGATTAAAGTAACAGGATTTTATATTTTTTTAACCCTTTTGAATCTAGTCTCAAGATTTTGACCAGGAGTGTATGTGTAGATAACTAGAAATTGATGTCAACACCCAGTGGCCATATGGCCTGAAGTTTGCATTTAAGTATGAAACAGGCTATTACTGTGAATTACTGTCAAACTGTGAATTGAAGGTCGTTCTCAATGGATTCTTCTCCAGTTCCTATCCCACGAACGCAGGCCCCACTCTATTCCTTATCTACATAAATGACCTTCCTGACGCCATAAATTCCCAAGTTGGCATCTACGCGGATGACACCACAATTTATTCCTGCCTCAAAAACAAATCTAGTGTCACTGACAAAACTAACCTGGCCGTGCATCTCGAAAAGGACCTCCAATCGGTTGTGAACTGGGGCAGGAATTGGCTGGTCAACTTTAATGCTTCAAAAACAAAACTGCTTTCTATTAATCACCAGAGATCCTTCCCCGCCCTCCATTAGAATGTCTGACGCTCAACTCCTTGAGAGCAACTCTCTGCGGCTGCTCGGTTTCACGTTGACTGCTGACCTGAGATGGAACAAATACATTGAGTCAATTGCTTCGTCCACCACAAGGAAAGTTGGCTCCCTGTGCCACACCACGAAATTATTCTCCCCGGAATCGATCCTCCAGATCTACAAATCAACAATTCGCCCTTGCATGGAGTATTGCTGCCATATATGGTCTGGAGCCCCTTCTGTTTGCCTCAGGGTTCTTGATAGGCTTCAGAGGCAGATATGCAATATAATTGGCCCTGCTCTGGCATCTTGTCTACAGTCACTTTCTCACAGAAACGCCGTCGCCTGTCTCTGTCTGTTTTACAAATACTTTCATGGCAATTGCTCTGAGGAGCTGCATTCGCTGGTTCCCAGACTTCATGAGTTCAAAGCGCCCTCTGAGGCTGGCATCCCGCTCTCACCCTTTCACTGTCGAAAACTCCTAAATGTAGCCGTCTCTTCTACTCCAATAGCTTCATGTCTCGCACCTCTCGCCTGTTAGAACTCCCTTCCCTATTCCAGTTTCCCTGAGAGCTATAATCTCCAGCTATTCAAATGTAATGTCAATCGACATCTCCAGTTGCCTTGATCTATCCACTACCCTTCTCCTCATCCTTTCTTCTATCACTCCTATCTGATCTTCTGTAACCCCTTGCATCCTAGTGGCTTCTCGCCTTGCTTGGGGTGAAACGCTTAAAAAAAAAATCTAGGGCATAAGTAAATATTTTTACAAAAATCAATAATTGCACTTTCAATAACTTTTTGTCTAAGTAAACCATTTTCACTTTTAATAAGTACAGTATATTTGAGATTGAAATTGTGGTTGTTGAAGTTATATGAACACAGAAAAACGCATTTAAATATATAACTAAAATTAATATTTAAAGTGATAAAAATATATTTATATATATTTGAATTCCCCATAGCAGATGGAACTATTGCAAGACCCAGCACCCTTTAACTGAGTTACAAATAACCAATTGATCAGGCAAGATCAAATTTCTGTTTTAAGTAAAACTTCTCATCATAGATCCTGCAAAATTTTTCATATATGCAGTTTCATATCCTCATGTAAACATTTTCTTTAATAAGATTTCTCAAACATTCAGACCAGTAGACAAAATAAATATACTGTTTAATAAATAAATGGAGCATCCACTGAAATATGAGTACCCACAAAAAATAATTTTTAAAGTGATATATATATATATATATATATATATATATATATATATATATGAGGTGTGCTGAAAAGTTCTTGGGTCAATCAAGATGTTTGGTCACTTGGTTATATTTTTGGATAACGTTTCATCAGCTCTCATGTATATATAAGCAGTTTTTAAACTTTATCACTTTGTATGTGACTTCATTTGCTGTACAGAACGTTTATCCTGTCACTGAAGATGACCCTCATCTTAGAATTTCATAGTTGTGTTGTCATATCCAGCTATGGCAACAGAAAATAATTTTGAGTGAATTTAACAATAAAACTGCTGCAATTGAGAGTCATTGAAAAAGAATGCAGTGAAATGGGAAGTAATATTAATAATGCAGAATGCTAAAGAGTAAAAAACCCATTCTCTTTATTGTTAAAGTGATTGCAAAACCTTAACTTGAATATCTTTAATCAATTAAGGGAGGATAAAGATGAACGTTTCTGCCATGAATACATGATGTGACCATTCAGGAAAATCAGTAAACATTGCAAGTTGTTCTGGTAAAACTAAAGCAGCCATATATTCAGGTTGGCCATTCAAGATGACCCATTGTATGTTGTGTTGTTACAAATAAACAAAACTGTTAAAATATCACATTTGGAATCTGATACAAAATTACTTTCATTGTAATAATGGTTGGTTGATCATTTCAGAGCATGTCTATCAGCAAGGATGGCCAGTACACTACAACTTTTGATCACAACCTTCAACTTATTCCAAATATTTCTTTCTATCCAATTTCAGACAAAGGGCTTTGAGTCAACCTATAGCATAGTTTACAGGAATTTCCCAATGGTGCCACACATTAGGATTGTTTCCTCAGACTGATATTATGAAGAGGTCACTTCCTTGACAAATAAACGATAGTGAGATTTGAACTTTGATCTCAGGGTTGGAACCACTTGGCCATGTACCTATTCTTTCATTGGACATGAAGATACATTAAACAAAGCAAAATGAAGCAACATATTCAGTATTTTATGTAATACTAGCTTAAAAGTCACACTCTGTGGAAACTTTTAACCTAGCTCTAGTAGAGGGCTAATTGGGCTTCTGGCGCAAAACTAGAGAGACCTCTAGTCCAGCTTAGAAAACAGCAATGATAATTTTTGAAGAAATAACTTTGAATTCCTCTATTCCCTCCATCAAAAAAACCTCACTTTAATCCTGATTTGGGTCAAAATTCAGACGGAAAATTGAGTTCTCCAAATCAGAAACTCTACAGAACTTCAAAACCTCGCATGACAAAACCTCTCACTTTAATTCTGATTCTTTGGCATTTTGAAGAATAAAATTGATTTCCTTACTTTAAACTCAATATAAATTAAAAACTTTTAAAATCATTAATTTTTTTCAGTTATTTAAAAATTTGAATTTTTAACTGTTCCCTCCTCATCCAGACACAAATCCCAATGCTGAATGTTCAAGCACCAGATGAAGGGAATATTTTCAATCCCGGGATCACCCTGATTCCAAAAAGGTATAATATGTCTATGTAGAGCAAGTTTGGCCCGAGTCAGAAGGGTTTCAGAAACACAGGCGAACAGACATAATTTTCTGTTTATTTATTAAGGCGATAGATGAAAACAGATTTTATTAAAAGATGGAAAAACCAACATGTTTATAATTCGCAAGGCTTGTATCTGAAGAAAATAAAACAAGAAAACTTACATGCCCACATCACAAACAATGTCTTGACAATCTCGGTCAACCATGATTTTGGCCAGAACTTCAAAGGAATGCCTACATGTGTCCACTTCAAGAAAATGATCAGCGCATCCATAGCCACTGAAAAAAAAACAAGATAAAAATATTTGTATAAGTACTCGTTGTAATTGATGATATTCTTATATATATATGTGTGTGTGTGTGTGTGCTTTTACATCCACCTCATTCACTAGGCCTAACCCCTTTAGACTTGTTCTTGTGGGGATAGTTAAAAGATAAAGTTTACGCTACCAAGATAAAATTTAATAGTTAACAAACATTATACAATAGCTACAAATAACTACATTTAGACAACTATTTCTATTCAATAGTCTTCAGAATAATTTGAAATATAACAGTTGCTACTTACCCAATAACCGTTTGGATAATACAATAAACTAGAAATACCTGACTTTGCTGTATATAATATCCCATTGTCTAACATATATAAATTGTTGAGCCAACACACATGGCCTGAAGATTACATTCAGGCATGAAACAGACTGTTGGCACTCAACATTAACCTGTGTCCACTTTATATATATATATATATGTGTGTGTGAATGTATATATATATTTTTTATATATATCATATATATGTGTGGTACTTATTGGAAAGCGCTCAATATCAGTGATAGAGCTAACATATTTAGTTGGATTGATGTGAATTTGTGACCCTGAGTTTCATGCTATTTGTGATCATCAGACAAACTGATTAATTTTTAAATTTTAGATTTATATATGGTCACGTATATCAGTGTTTTTATGGAAGTGGGAGGAAAAATTCTCATTGGAACGACACTCATACTTACGCAAACATAAATACATGCACGTACACTCATTGACGTACACAGACACACACAAACGCATGCTCAATCACTGGAGATCACACAAACATAAACATATGTGAACAGTGTGGGACTGGGCATATATGCGCATCCACATGTTGTTGCGCATATATGTACGCATTTGGTTACTGTATTCAATGTTGGATTGTGTAGCGAATATTTTTTGTCAGTTGCAGTGTCAATACACAGATCATTCGTCTATTTTGTTTGCTGAATAACGTTTTCTCGCACACATGGATATACATATGATGGGGTATGTGTAAGACTATGATAGGTAAAAAATGCTATTATTTTTCATTTTTTAAGGTTATTTTTCCGTTTCGGTTGTGGAGGTGCATACACCTCCACAACTGAAATGCAAACACAGAAAAAGAAATATTATCTGGTTTAACCTGCCATACAACAAAACCATCAAAATAAACATAGGAAGAACATTCCTAAACTTAATAGAAAAGCACTTCCCTGAAACAAACCGATTAGCAAAAATATTCAACAAAAATAATGTTAAAATCAGTTAAAGCTGCACAAAAAATATAACACAAATAAAAAAAAGCCACAACACAAAAACAACAACCTACAATAATGCAACCATGAACCTCAATGCAACTGCAGAAATAAAACAACATGTCCACTCCAACGAAACTGTCAACAAACGAATATAATATATAAAGCCAAGGTAAGTGCAAACAACAGCACAATGTACTATATCGGTGCCACTGAGGGACCATTCAAAAAGAGAAAAAACAACCATGACCTTTCATTCTCCAACAGAAAATACTCAAACAGCACTACACTATCCACATACATATGGCATCTAAAAGACAGAAATATTACACCAAGAATAAGCTGGAAAATATTGAAAAAAGCACCTGCCTACAACAACATTACAAAGAAATGACTACTTTGCCTACACGAAAGGGTAGCAATAATTTCTCATACCAAACAAAAAAATTTACTAAACATAAGATCAGAAATAATTTCCAAATGCAGGCATGAAAATAAATACCTATTATCAGAATTTATGCCAAACGGATAAAAAAATACCAACAAACACTACTACATAAACCACCATTGACCCTATAAACATGAAAAGAGAAACCACTGACACCATAACACCATCAATTATTTTCTAGTTCAAATTACCATCATAATAATTACAATTATTTTTATTATCATTCCACCACAATTTCTACGATCACTTCTACCACTTTACAATAAATTATTTGCTGCTACAATTGTTATCATCACCCGCTCCCCCCACCATTACTACCACATCACAATTACCATTACCATATTAGTCCACAATTACCATTACCATATCAGTCCACAATTATACTTACTTCTCTCTCCCCCAGCAAAATTAATACCACTGTATAAATACTAATAAGTATTACAAATTGGAATTTCTACCATTTACATATGCGTAATCGCCAAAAACAAGCAAATAATCAGCTTTAAAATAATAACAAAAAAGCCTTAAAAAATTAAAAATAATAACAATTTTTATCTATCATAGTCTTACACAGACCCCATCATACGTATATACATGCGTGAGAGAAAACATTATTCAGTGAACAAAATAGAAAAACAGTCTGTATGTTGACAGTGCAACTAACAAAAAATATTCACTACACAATCCAACATTGAATACATCGACAAAATGCATACATATGTGCGCAACAACACATGGATGCACATATGTGCCCAGTACCACACTGTTCACATATGTTTGTATGAGCTCCGGTGAGTGAGCATGCGTGTGTGTGTGTGTGTGTATGTGTCTGCATATGTCAATGAGTGCATGTGCGTTTGCGTAAGTATGAGTGGCATTCCAATGACAATTTTTCCTCCCACTTCCATAAAAACGCCGATATATGCAAACCTAATATAAATCCAAAATTTAAAAATTAATCAGTTTGTCTGATGATCACAAGTAGAGTGAAACCCAGGGTCACAAACTCACATCAATCCAACTAAATATATATAATACACACACAAAAGCTCTATCCCTTATATTGAGCACTATTACCCATACATATATCATAACTGAAAACTATATTTTTATAATTTTTGAATAGGCTGTTGCATATGCAAATGAAAATTATAGATAAACTTTCCAGAGTTTGTGTTTTAGTTTTGTTCAAGTACTTTCGACTGTGTTGATCATTATCAGGAACTAAGTGTTGCCTGTATCATAGCTAAAAGTCTTGTTAGCTATATCCTGGTATTCTTGGAATTTTTATATTTCATATTCAAATATTCATATGTAAAATGGTCTCATAGAGTTTGACAACATCAGAAACTAAATGTGTATATAAATGTTTTATACAGATTTTAAAATGCTGTCTCCTATAGTGAAAGATATTTTATATAATGCAAGTTTTTTTTTGCATAATAGATTTTAGTATTTTGAGTCTTTCCTTTCAGTGAGTATTGTATATATAGTATTTTGGTATCTAGTATTAATTGTATTTCAGTGTGAGGATCAATATGTGTACAAATGAAGCAGTTTCAATCAGTAACAAGATACTGAGGTGCATGTGTGATGAAAGAATAAAGTGTGTATGTGTGTGTGAATATATATATATATATATATATATAAAATCATAATTTTTTTCTTATTGCAGATCTGACCAACTATGACTATTTTCTGTATGTTATGCATGCATAATTCAGGCAGTCAGTATTAGATATTCAGTGATCAGAGCATTTTATTCCAATCTCGGGATAACCTAAGGTACTATAATAAGGGTAGTTGGAGAATATATAAAATATACTTACCAACTAAAATCACCAGGTGGGGGGGATGCTCATATGTTTGATAATGTAATTGCCACAAAATCACAAATATTTGGGAGGGTGGGGTTTAAACACCAGAATAAAATTACAAATGTTTTAATTATTTATTTTATATATTTGTATTAATTATATATATATATATATATATATATATATATATATATATATAAAAAAAAGAAATATGTTGTAGTGGTTCCAATGAGAAAAAGTATGTATATTAAAGAAGAGAGAACATAAACGTTTTTTTTGGTTGTAATGTGGAATATTTTTCTAAATAAATCCACATTACAAACAAAAAACGTTTATGTTTCTTTTTAATATATATATATATATATATATATTTAAAAAGAAAACAGACAACTTTAAGGGTCCATGGTTATAATTTATTTCCCCAGGGAGTTTCTTTTTCCCCTGGCTCATCAGACCTCACTTCCAAGAAAGTTGTCTTCCTTAAAGTTGTCTGTTTTCTTTAAATTAATCGCTCTGATTTAACATTGAGCTCTCTGGATTTTATCTTCCTTGGGATTATCCATACAGATTACCAAGATTTTCATTACTTATATATATATATATATATATATATATGAGAGAGAGAGAATTAATACAAATATAAAGTTTGTCAAAATTGGTGTTACCTTCAGCATGGACCCTCCTGCAATCACACCATCCACTCTTCAGGGGATATCAGCAATTGACTGTTTATATTTCTGTTTTTTGGGGTTTTTTTTTTATATATGCATTTTTCATTGGTGCAAGGTTGATTTGTGTGTGTGTGTGTGTGTGCATGCACCTGATAAATTAATTTTTATACTGAACAATCTTCCAAATCTGTCTGAAAATGATTCTAGAAATAATTTTTTATGCAAATTAATGTATCTTATTTCCAGCATTTCTACAAATGGGTACAATGTCAAACTTATTTTTATTGTCAACTACTTTATTCTTTTTATAATGTATATTTTTGAACAAGAAGTGAGTTTATGGTTCTGTAATATTCAGATATTAAAATGTATTCAAAATCATAGAAAAAAGTCCTTAAATACTGCAAATGGTCAATTTTGCCATAAAAATGTTGACGTTGGGTTAAATCTGCACAGTTAATTCGTTCCTTATAAATTTTATTGATTTCATATAAAATACAAAACTACAGTGTCATTTTTTTTTTTTTTTAAAGCAATTCACCCCAAGCAAGGTGAAGTACCACTAGCACGCATGCGGTTACAGAGGACTGAGAAGAAGAGTAAGTAGGCATGTTGGAGGAAAAGATACAGAAAAGGACGGGGAGCAAGCTCAGGGTGTCAGATATCAATATGAACTTACCTTTTTTCAATATTTCTATTTAACTATTTTAAAAAAAATAAAAATACTTTTTAAAAAATGAATATTAAAACAAATATTTTAAAAAAAAGTTTAATAATTATTCATTTATTCAAATGCTGTACTATTACTACTTCCACACACACACACACACACACACACACACATATGTATGCCATGACAATATTTCTTGCACACTAGTGTGCCTTGGCACAGCAGTTGAGAATGGCTGGTCTATATTCTGGTCATCGTTTGTGATTCGATAGCCAATGATAGAAATAAGATTCTTTGTGGGCATCAATAAGACAATGTTATAAAGCAAAAAACAGATCTTACACATTGACAATTCAATAAAACATTTTCAGCCCAGAAATGATTTTTTCTTGTCACAGTCAGCCAATTGTTATCTGAGGTAAATAATACAATAGACTCTCAGATTTATAATCATCATAAAATGAACAAGTCATTGTGTAAACAATATACAGTCAGAGGTAATCTGAATTATACGAAACCAAATGCTTTATTTTCCATGATTTGAAGTATAGAGATTTATTTAAAACATGCAGAAAGTAAATTCAGTCTACTTACAAAAACCTGTTCTCTAACCAGGTCTACAGAGTGATCTATAAATATGATACACAATTTCAGCCTTCATTTAAACATTCTATTAAATCTCTTCCAATGTCTTGCAAACTTCAGAAATTTAAATGCAATATCAATCATCTTCTGTCAGCTTGAATTATGTTTATTTTATTGTTGTTTCTCCTCAGTAATGTTTCACTCACTCTATCATCGTTCATCCTTAGTAACCGCTTGTGTCTTATTACTCTGCTTTGGGTGAAATGATTAAAAACACAAGTTTAAACTCACATGTTGCTCTTGTTAATTTAAATTTAATGTAAGTTCTATTCTAATAGTTTCTTCTCTCACACTTCTCACCTGTGGAACTCTCTTCCAGCTTCTTACTTTGCTCATCATTTTATTGTTGAAATTGTTAAATGTAACCGTAAGTTATATTTTAATAGTTTTTTTTTCTCTCGTACTTATAGCCTCTTGTTTTTCTGTCAACTATGATCTTTAAAAATTTAAATGCAACATCAATTGTCATCTTCAGTCACCTTGAATCCTGTTTTTTTTATTGTCCTTTCTCCTCAATAACAGTTCTTTCACTCTCAGTAACTCTTGGCATCGTAGTGACTTTATTGCTTTGCTTAGGATGAAATGATTAAAAAAAAAAAAATAGAACAAACAGAGAATGTTTGTTAAGTTTTCTGGTGAGTTACTCTTGGTGTCATTTAAATTGTTTGATGCGAGATAGTAACATGTAAAGAAAATTAATGAAATGACGGATATTCCTAATATTTTCTATCATCAAAAGTTGTTTTCTTAAGAATTTACCATGAAAATAATTGAGATTGGTTGATTGGTTTGGTTTATTTTGTTTTACGGCATATCAACCTCAATGGCTTATTTAATGCTGACAAAAATTTTTATTGCTGGTAATATTTTGTTTTGTCAAAATCTGTTTCTGGTAATATATTTCCTTCAAAATTGTATTGCTGGTAATAGTTAACTATTTCCCCATAGCTGGGACCCTAACAGGTGCTACCATCCCAGGTCAGGGTGGACCTGGGAACACCAGTAATTAAAAGATGGTTCCACGCTCCTCAAAACCTCCTGATCAGCGGCCTTGCTGCTGGACATAGTTTAATGTCTTACCCAGGATGCGGATGTAGTTTAACGTCTTACCCAGGACAGTAGAGATTGGTTGAAAGTACTTGAAACATAACGCATAATTTAAGCAAACCTTTTCAAGGAATTTTTTCTTTAAAATTAACAATGATCATCAAAATTACTCAGAAGATAACACATAATTTTGCTAAGTTTTCTTTTGATATTAAACAACTTATTCAACACCAGAAGAAACACCAAAATGCTTAACAGACATTCCCAGTCAGTTCTATTTAAATTTAATGTACAATGAGTATTTTGGGCTGTAACTTTTTGCACTATTAGAGTTGTCAAGCTCAGGTAGCATGGCTCATTTTATGACAATGGTGAACTATTTCAAAATGTTTATGGAGTCGGGAAGTGAAAAGAATGACAATAATAAACGGAAAAAAAATATTTAAAAACTCACATATGAAAATATTCTAGCAATAGCTAATATTTAATAAAATCAACTTCATGCTGGCCATCAATTTTGGCAACATGGGTAGACAAATTAATATCAACTAAAACAAATTGCAATGTAAGTTTTGTATGCATGTAAATGGCAATAGGAATTTAACAGTCATTTAGAAAAATTCAATTCTTTTCTTGATGAAAATGCAAAAACTTAAAATATAATTTTAGTATAGTTATGTAAACACAGTTACTGCATGATTCATTTTTAAAATGAAATTAGCTAGGTTTCTTTTAAAAAAAGAGAGAGTGAGAGAGGTAGATGCATTTCTTTTTCATTATACAATTTTAAAGAAAGAATACACTTTTACAAAGAAGTAAAATTTTAAATATAATCTTACGTTATTTCCAGCTCTGGACCAACACGATAACTGGCTCCTTGTTTTTTAGCCTGTTTGATACCTGAAAAAAAATACAGCTTTCTTCAAAAAGAATTATACACACAAAAGAAAGCTGATATATTTACTGAACATTAAAAGGAAAAAAAATTATTATAACTTTGAATGACGAATTGACAAAAGACGGCAGAGTGGCTGACTGACAAAAGACAGTTGCCAATTGACAAAAGAAAGGAGGCCTGATTGATTAATATCTGATAACAGAAAAGAGAGTTGATTACTGAAGAGAGAGAAAACATCAGGTCTCTTAAGAATTACAAGGAGGGAGAAAAGAGAAAAAGATGGGCGGAAACAAAATAATATTGAGTAATGGCTAGTGAGTTCACAGCCTAAGAAACCACAGTGCGGCAAGTGGCATACTACTTTAGGAACAAAATGTGCCAAGGGAACTTTTTCACAAGACACTAAGTCTCGCCAATTGCACATTGTTGGTTTTTCCATCACTTTTATTGACATAAGACAGTTGACAAAGACCTGGATCTGGACAAGTCACTGAGAGGCCCATATCTGGACATGCCAAGTTATTCTGCTGCTAAGAGGAGAAAACCCAGATGTGACTAGCTTTGACATACATGTCCACGTGCAACTTGATGGCCTCTTTTGTGTTTGTAATGACATGTGTTCACCACATACGTCTTGTCCAAAATAATGTCAACAAATGTTCAACTTTTAATGTCAGACTGCAAAATAAAATAAAGTTCTGAATTCATTCATAAAGTTTATGTTAATTTTATTTTTTGTAAAGCACATATTCTTTAAGTGATTTAGATTTTGTCATATTTATTTTAATTTTTTCCAAGCAAGGTGATATTACCACTAAAGCAGAAGGGGCTACTGGGAGTGAAAGAGAATGAAAAGACTTTAGAAGGAATTGGAAACCTAAGCTAAAGCCCTACTCCTGTGCAAAAGATTAAAGAGGAGTGTGAATCAGACAACAAGTGAACCTATCTACTCCTATAACTTAATAATATTGCAAAGCATAAAAGTAGTGATGCTAGCAATGGAAAGATTATATTGAATCAATTGCTCGGTCTGCTTCTAGGAAACTTGGTTCACAGTGTGATGCTAGACAATTTTTCTCGCCTGAATTGATCTTACACATTTATAAGTCTACTATTCATCCATTCATTGAGTATTGCTGACACATCTGGTCTGATGCTTCTGCTCTGTATTTATAAAATACAAAGAAGAATCTGCAATGTTATTGGCCCTGACCTGGCATCTTGTATTCAGTCACTTTCTCACTGCCGTAACATAGCTTACCTGTGCCTTTTCTATAAATATTTTCATGCTACTTGTTCGGATGAACTTTTCTCTATGGTACCTCGACCTTATGAATTTAAGTGATGTACTAGAATAGTGGCAATATATTGTCTGATTTTCAGATAGTAACATCTAAGTATATTCAAAATACAGATAACAATCAGGGTATCAGGTGTCATTATTAGAATTGTGTGCTATAAAATGTTTTATTTATCAATAAACCCAAAATATATAAGCGACAAAAATATATATGTGAATAATATATCTCTATATATTTGCTAGCCTGTTCAAGGACTTTCATCATTGCTGAAATCAGTGTTCACGACGTTAAAGTTTCAAACCATTTCAATTGTCGTGGTTCAGTTATTATCAAAGTGGCTTCCAGGTAACTTTAAAACCAGCACAAACAATGGCATGTATTGCAAAAGTAAGAACAATCATATTGTTAGCAAAAAAAAAAACAATCTCTGTCTGATTCCTCAATGTGCAAAACTTTTTATGAAAATAATCTTAAATTTAAAATTTTGATCAGTGTGAAAGTGTTAGACAGGTCTATTATTACTAGTGTAATGTGATATTCTAACCACACCCCATCTTTCTACGTTTTACAACTTGGTCCACCAATTTTTGTTACAACTTTCGGCGACATGTCTTTCCCTCTCCACAACCTATAACTCTCTTCATTTATGTTTACAATCTCACTCCCCCATGACACATACTAGTAATAATAGACAGGATCAGGTTTTTGCTAACAATATGATTTCTACTGGAAAATACCTCATCTACAAAAACATCTGTCAGTGAGTAATTCTCATGTCTCTGTTTATTCCTGGGTCTGTTGACAAAGGACACAGGTGTGTCTGAAAATTCCAACTTAAAGCCTTTCTCTCCATGCTTCATTTGTCATATGGTTATTGTTTAATAAATGTTTATCATACTGATTATATTGTTACCCTTTCATTTTTCTTTGTTTTATTAACTAACCTATCTATTTTATATATGTGTGTATATTTATATATACATATATATTTATAGGTTTGATTCCTGTTGGAGGACACATATTTTCTATTAAATTTCTCAGACATTCAGGCCAGTATCTGTCTATATTTCGGAGATAAGGTATTATGTACTCTATTTACATTATTCAGACTATTGTCCTCATCTTTGTCACCATATTTATTACAATGTTTCTTCAGGTGGTTGGAATGTCGAACTGAACCCTTTATTTCACTCACTGGGGTACTATTCTTGTTCCACGTGCCATGTCTAATGGATGTCAGTTATCTCCTGTTAATTCCTCTCTCACACTCACACTCTTTGGGTCTTGTCACTGGATCTAACTAACACCTTTATCCACTGTGCCTTGAGGACATCTGTGTATGAATTTCTGGGTATTATAAACCTAATGTCTTCAGCAACCATTTTTTACCAGTGAACATATTGCAATTCTTGTTGTTATCACTTCATGTTTTTACCAAAGCTCATATTGCAATTTCTGTTGTTATTATCACTTTCCTCTGGCGCTCCTTAGTACTGGTTCCCATATTGTATTCATTTCTATGCTTGGTTGGCTCAGAAGATTTTTGTGGCCTAGCATATGTGCTGATTCCTTAAGTTTACGAATTTTCCAATGATGTTGTTTGTCTATGATTCCAACCTGATCCCACATATGGCGACAAAGATGAGGACAATAGTCCGAATAATGTATTCAGGCCAGTAAATGTAATTAATACTGTTTATTATAAACAGAGCATTTACTTAAAAAAACCTTGAAAAAAATAAATGCAAAAATATATTCAAATAATTGTCAGACTTAGTCTATTTCATAATATGTATAAGTGAATAAAATAAAGCTGATTGGAATTGGTACTTGGCTTTCTGACTGAGGATCCATTATGAGCCATGATCCATTAAACCAAATGTAGATCCAAGCTTACAGAACCTTGGTATTCCCAAGTAGTCACCTATCTAGGTCCTGACCAAGCTAGATGTTGCTTAACTTCAGTGATTGTATGATTCTTACAGCAAAGAATCTCAGCATTAGGAATGAAATGCTAGAAAACCATTGTAGGCATCTCCTATGAAGACCAGATCAGAAATGATGCAGTTTGAAAGAAAATTGGACTTAAAACTGGAAATGCTCATATACACTGTTAAGAAAAGAAAGTTATCATGGTAATATTATGTCATATGAGCCAACAAACCTTCAGGAAAGAGGAAGACAGAAGGGAATGGGAGATCATCCACAAAGACATATGGTGAAAGATGATCAGTTTCTCATCTGTGCAACCACAACCGGCCATGGGACTAATGATGATATATTGATTTAATAAAGTCGATGGTGTTCAATTTTTTTGTGTCTTTGTAAACCTTTCTCAGTGTAGGCAGTAATCAGCATTGCAGAACAAGGAGGAAAATTTCTTAAATTAATATAATCCTTACATGTTTATAGATTTAGCATTCATCAATGTAGTGAATATTGCTGCCTCATCGGGTCTGATGCTTCTGCTATGTATTTAGAAATTTTTGATAAAATCCAAAGAAGAATTTGCAATGTTATTGGTCCTAACATGGCATTTCACCTTCTGTCACTTTCCCACCACCGTAACATAGCTTCCCTGTCCCTTTTCTATAAATACGTTCATGGTAATTGTTCTGATGAACTTTATGAATTAAAGCACAGTAACAGATTGGCAATTAGGTCTCACCATTTTACAGTTGAAGTGACTAGATGTAACCATTTGTTCTATACTAACAATTTATTCTCTTCTACTTCTCACTTGTTGAACTCTCTTCTAGCCTCTTGCTTTCTTTCCAGTCAACTTTGATCTTTAAAAATTAAATGCAATGTCAATCATTATCTTCTGTATTCTTAATTCCTGTTCTTTTATTGTTCTCTTTCCTTAAGAATGTTTTTTTTTTCCTCATATTTTCTAACACTCAGTAACCCCTTGCCTCTTATTATCTGGCTTTATTACCTTGCTTGGGGTGAGATTATAAAAAAAAAAATTGAAAAAAGAAACAGTGAAATGCTTCCTTAAATGAATAAGTTGAAAATTTTTAATCAGGAGATGAAAAAAAAAAAAAAAAAAAATCGAATGTTCACAGAAGAAAGAATATTCTAACCATCAACTTCTTTTTTTTTTTAAGGTATCTCCAAGAAAACACGAAGGTTTGAAAAATTATTTTTAAAAAATCAAAAATTTTTCTTGAAGTTTTTATTTTTTTAGTCTTTAATTTCAAGCTAATAGATTATTAAATTTAATATTTCCAATAAGCAAAATACCTTGCTATATTTCAAACTAATTTAAATTCGCTGGAAGGAGTTTTTGTTTTGAAATCGCTAAAAATCGAAGATTTTATTAATTAGCATCATTTTTAGGCTAAAAATGATGCTAATTAATTACATTGTAATGATAGCTAAAAATTTTAGCTATCATTACAATGTAATTAATTCTATTTATTAAAAAAAAATCTTTCAAAAATAAAATATACTTTATTGAAACTTTATTTGAGCAATATTAGCTGATTTAAAGTTTAATTCATCTGATTTGAAACAAATATTTACTTTTACTTTAAAAAATATCACAAAAATGGATTTCTTAACTGAACATGACGGTAGGTGTTTAAAATGCTGACAATGTTGAGACAGTTTGATTGACAGGCGATTTTTTCCTACGGTGTACACATCTGTAAAAAATACTTATTCAGTAATCTTAAAAATTAAGGAAAATATTTTCCGTAATCTAAATGTCTTATTAAATTTTACTACTTTGACTTTAAATTTACTACTAGTTATTGCTCTTATTTTCCGACAATGTCGTATATAGTATGGGTGTGTAGTGTTCACAAAAATCGGCCAGTTTATATTATACGTATATATAAAATACGTACACAAAAAAAAAAAATTCAAATTCTTTTTAAAATATTGGTGTCATTTTTTTTCATTTATAATTAGTAAATATGTTTTTTTTATCACCTAGTCGTCAGTACAATTAAATGCAAAAATTTAAAACTTTTATTCTAACTTAAAAAAAAAAAATAACAATTCTTGAAAAAATTCATTATTCATCGAAAAAATTTTTTTAAGACAATCCAATCAATAAAAGCAATAAAAGCTTTTTAATGTCTTTTTCAGAGTAGTTTTTTTTACGGTAACCTAGGGTCATTGATTTATTCTCCAAAGAAAAGAGTTTTCTGCGTATAAAAATTAACCGGTACAAAAAAAAAGAAAAAAAAGGGAACATTTCTAATATAATTTTAAAAATTCATTTGTGAATAAATCCTGAGAGTTTCATTAAAATTCGACAATTATTTGACATTTTTTGCAAGAATTTCCAAATCTATGAGTTTTACACCGCAAAACACGTTAAAATTTCCTAAAAACTAAATCTTTGCACCCCCACCAACACTATTATTGACGCACCAATTTTTGTTTTGAACATTCTGAAAAAAGATAAAAAATAATTTAAAACATCCTTTGGCCTTTTCTTCTTTTTTTCTCTTAAATAATTAACAAAGATTTTGAAGATAAAACTTTGTTTTTATTAAGTTTGGGGCATTTTTTTTTCATTTGGTATGCTCATTTTTTTTAGCGAGTCTGTAGAGGCACCTACTTTTTTTTTTATCAATTATTCTATTTTTTTTTTAATTTAGTGATTGTCGATTGTGTCTAACAAAATCTTGGGTACTAAAAAAATAAAAAAATGAATCTTCTTTCTATCACATAAATTTTTTTTGTTAAATGTTCTTTATTTTTTAATCTTTATTATTTGGTTGAATCTCATCTTTTCCCAAGAAGATTAAGAACGAATCTTAAACAATAACATTCAGTTATATATTTTTTTTTATTGTTAAAATCTATTTTTAATGTGTCTAATAAAAACAAATACGGTGAGACTGGAGAACGAATTTTCTATCAGTCATATAACTTTTTTATTACAATAATTTCATTATAGTTGTTAATTAATCACTATTTTTTAGCAATCTAGTGCCTAAAAAACTAGTTCGGTACTATCCGCGTTTCCAGGTATTTTTTTATGGTTTGTTGAACATATACTCCGCGGATAAAAGGTGGTCTATCTATTATTATCATACTTGTAGCAAGCTCTTTCAGATCAATTATCTATTAGTGAGTTCGATCTTCATTGGGTGTCCAGTACGTAAGATCATTTTTTTTTGTTTTTTTTTTTAACCAAATTTAAATGACGATTCTTGTGGTGGCTCGAGTTATTTGGTCGGATAGGGACATGGGAATGTAAAATTAGCAATGGTTCAATTCATTTTTACAAATTTTAATTAAAAACAAAATAAAGTTAAAAAAGAAAAGGTGCATAATCTCTAAATAAACATTGTAATCATTCAAGCAAATAAAAGAAAAGAAGTGTTTTAAAATTAAAAATGAAGAAACGAAAAGTTTTTCTTCCTTTACTAGAAGAACTGAATATTTTCAAACATTTTTTTTAAGGATTTAAATTAAAATAAGTGAAAGATTTACTTTAATAATCTCTAAATCGTAATATTTAATTTCACTTTTTAAAATCTTTATTAAAGTTTAAAGAATGTTTAGTTTACGATTCGGATTAAAAACAAAAAAAAGTTAACTAACACAAAATTCGTGATATGCCAGGGTTATCATAACTTTTAGGGTAAAATTATCTTGTCTTATAAGAAAATCCAGGTTTTTGAAGATCATTTCATTTATGTCAATTCTACATTATAGAAATAAATATTTCTAGGAATTGCGTTTTGCAGTTAATTTTTTCAAGCGAAAGAAATAAGTTTCATTTTTCACGGCTGGACACCTGACAATATTTTATGATAAAAAAAAAAAAAAACTTTTCCTAGGCCTAAAATATTCAAAAGAAAAGAAAAATTTGAGGAAAAATCGAGTGACAAACGTAAAATTTTTTTTCTCATAGAAATTCTTTATAATATTTTTGTGTTCGACTTTAGAGCCTTTTCATTTTTGCCTGTTTATTTTTTTAAATAAATATTTATTCTATTATACGAAAAACACTACAGAAAGATTCGTATCTGGAATTTGAGACCTAAAAAAACATTTGTAACAACAGAGAAACACAAATAAGGTGTTTTTAACGGGACTTTTAATTTGTTTCCATTTATTTTTCTTTTAAATACTTACTTTCGATGATCCGGGAACAATTTCCATCGAAGTCTAATGCCCATTGATTAAGTGAACAACAGGCTACAGTTATTTTTCTACCCAT